CTTGAGGCCCGAGTACTCCTCGCGTCTTCGTCGTTTCCTTTCCTGCACTCGTGATGAAGTAGTAGCCTCACCCTCTTCCGATGGTAACTCTCGTTCAACCTGCTTTGTCTTTTTCTCCTTCTCTTTCTTTGCTGGTAGTACGTAGTCCAAATCATCATCCTGAGTTGGCGGTGGTCCCGATTTCCTGACAGCTTCTTGTTCCTCATCGTCCTCAGCCAAACCAGCCTCCCTACGAGCAGGAGACCCGAAGGCGGGACTAGCAGCTCTGGGTAGAATTATCCTATCACCATCCGTACTTACACTGAGAAACCCACCCTCCCTTCTCCCTGTTCTCCTCTTGTTTGACGACCCTCGCTCTTCTGCAGGAGCTTGCGGTGGCGTTGGTAGTGGCGGAGGCGAGGAAACTCGGGCGGGTAATGGCAGGCGAGATGCTGCAAGTCTTGACTTGGTTTTTCGCCGGATAGTAGGACTAGGTATATGCTCTGCCTCCTCTTCATCTCCTTGCGGAGAAGAGGTCAATTCTTCGTCTTCGTATATGCCCGGTACGTTGGGCGCACGTGAAAGTTTGGGCATTTGTGGTGACGCATTTGGATCTATGAGCGGTCGACGAGCTCTAGACGCTGGCTTCTCTTTGGCGGGAGAAGCTACCCCAGGGGCAATACCAAATGACTGCCGCAAAAAAGTCAGATGTTTGACCAAATTAGCAGTCTAGCTGAATCTCAGCGACAGCAGGTGGGTTCTCGGGATATGGAACTCGCCGCAGCATCAGCATCAGCCATTATCTTCCTGGACTTTTCCTGCTCTTTCTTCAGCTGTGCCGCGAGTGCAATCTCGGATGCTCGTAGTCTGAGGTTCTCGACGTATAGGGTGGATATTTGAGCGTTAAGCTCCTCGATGCGGACGCTGAGAGTCGAATTAAGTCTGTTGTCATACAGTGAGCTGTTTTCTAATTAGATTAAACTTGACAGGGCGACATACTTGGTGATGTGCTTATTGGCAAGCAGGAATTTCTTCTTAACTAAATGCCACAGACGTTAGTTGGACCCAGGGTGACATAAATGACATACAGTTTTCAAATTCACTGAGAGCATCGTTCTGACGGACATTAAGGGAAAGGCGTGAGTCTCGCCTGCTCATCGTGGGCGGCGACGAGGACAAGCTCTGTGGCTGTCCCGGTCGTGGTCGTAGTTGGGTCCAACACGCGCTGTTATCGAACAATACCATATCCACGTGATCAAGACGCGTCCCCAATATGGAAGTTCGGTATCTTACTTTGCCTCAAGGCAGTGATGGGCGCATTCTTCCCTTCAACCTTCCTTCTGGGGCCCAGACTCGATTTGAAACTATGTTTTTCTTCCTAGTAAAGCAACAAGTTGCGACTAAAATACACGAGAAGTGGGGTGCGACTAGTCAGCAGCTTGCACGTTCGCGGGTATTGCCTAAGGCTATGTTGTGATAATCACTATTCCGGACTGGCTTCCAGTTCTTCCACTGATGGTACATCACGCAACCACCCACAAAAGTCAACATCTTTCTCCAATAATTCACTAACACGATCGACATGTCTTTCCACATCAAACTGGGAACGATAACCCCCTCCAAAGACGCCACTACTCGTCTCGTTGTGACCTGAACCTCCAGCCTGGGTGGAGGTAAACTGCGGAAGAAATGCGTTTGGATTTTGAGCGAATGACCGCATTGGGCTGACAGGCGAGTGAAGAAGGAGATTGTGATTGGACGTAGGGGAATCAGACGCCCCCGAACCCGGGGTTGAGAAGTAAGACTTTGCAGGCGAAGGGTTTTCCTTGGCGGCATGTGGTGAAGGCTCACTCTCGGCACGAAGTATATTTTTCAAAGGAGGCCCCTGGCGTGACTTCGGTTGAGGGGTGGCTGCCAGCAACTCAGTGAGAGTAGGAAGTCTACCTTCACCGCGAGGGGAGGCTGGAATAGCTGCACGTTTCGACGTTACCTCTGGCACATTTGCCGATTCCGTCTGTGGTCGAGAGCGAATTGCGGGATTTTCTCCATGGGGGGACTGTAACCGTCGCTTCTTCGAAGTGGAGGATACTATGTCATGGAGAGAAGACGGCGATAGAGGGCGTTTGTTTGTTTGTCGCCCGTCGGAATGTAGCGGAAAAGAAGGGGATATATCAACAGTATAAGGATCTTCGCCGAGATGATTATGATCGCCATCCCTGGGAGTTGACGGATGTGAAATAGACGACGATGAACATACAGGGTAAATCGGCGGGGGTTTTGTCCGAACAGGCACCGCGGCGTTATGTCGTGGCTGCGGAGTTGAAGTTTCAAGCTGTGATGGGAAGGATGGAGGAATATACGGCTAGGTACAAGGTAAAACAGAGACTGATGAGTTCGATAAGAAAAAAATACCTGACTTTCGCACTCACCGTTTCTGGAAAGTCTGCAATCTTGGGCAGATCCCCATCGGAAGTATGCAAAGACTTCAGCGGGGTCTTGAAGCTAGCTTTTTCTGGCTCATCACCGCTAGGTTCCGTTGGTAATTTGGAGCCGCTGGCGGTATGATCACCTTTGGGATCTCCGTGGACCCGAAAATTAGGGGGACCATGTCTATCTGAGCGTTCTTTATTACTCTTCTTACCAGTCACGGTTGTAGCATTACGCTTTACGACCGGAAAACTAAGCGACGAGGATTGGCTTTTATCTTTCAGCAGTGTCAACTTCATCCCTGACTTGGAGGCACCCGTGAGTGCTGGGGTAACGGATACGGTCTTTTCGCCAACCGACGCGCCTTCAGATGTGGGGATCGTCGCTTGCCACTTTGCCACCTTCTCCTTGACATTCAGCATGGTTTTGGGCGAGACCGTTGCTAGCGCTTGAACAATATCTATTGGCGGTTGATAGGCAGCAAGATCTGATCCGCGGAATGGTGCAACTGCTGTTATCGACACGTTGGCAGGATGACGAGATTGCTTGGCATTCCCTTTCGACGTCCTCGCTTTTGCCCTATCTTTCTCTAGCTTCAACCATGTTTCCTCGTCATCTGGTAGTATCCATTCCGCGTTCTCAGCTGGATTCCAGCATTGGTCTAACCCAGTCATACGATATCGTCCCCTGACACAACCCATCTTCAACTTCGCGCTGACCTGGGTCCATTTCCCGTCCCCTGTGTCTCCTCTTGCAGCGTCAACTGCCTCTAGGACAGCGTGTTTCAAGTCTTCAACGTTTGCGTCGAACGAGGGGGAGCTGGGTCTTGAAGAGGGTGCAAGTACCTCAGGTTTGGTGGCAAGAAAAAGGTGAATGTCGCGTAGAATCTCGGTAGTGGACAGATGATTTGGTTTATTGGATGAGGACGCGCCCTTCCGCCCTGTTGACTTGCGTTCGAGAGACGGTGGGAATACCGGTGTATAAAGCGACATTGTTACTATAAAACACCGTCAAACTGAGTGTCCTGATTAATGTTAGTGAGACGGTCCGCAGCGAAACTGTTACAAACTAATGAGTGCGCCCAGATTAGAAAATTTGGAGGGAGACCAGACTTATTTCCCCTTGAATCCCTGCCAGTCGGTGTTGGATCGTTGTGTTTGCTTGGTGTGTTTCAGTTAGCAAGTCTAAAGGCAAGTTGGATGCGGCACGTCAAGCGCAAGGTGAACTACGCACAGCGGACTTTGAAATTCCACTGTACACCCAGTGACAGGGCCACAAATCCGCCACGGTCAGACCACGACCGCATTTAATTATACAGATCAAGCCCATCAGCACAGGCAACCACGTTTACGCTTGCGAGCACTGCTCATAATCAAAATGTCTCACCGGCCTACATACGCACGGAAGTTTGCTTGCATCACCGGTGTTGCTTCGCAATGTTTGTGGACAGTGCCACATATATCACGCTATGATCAATTGTGAGCCTTGCAGCTCTCACACCTTACCGCCTCACTATACTAGAACACGCGTGTTAGTAGGAAATGGAACTTGTAATCAATAATCAATAATGCTCATGATTCCTCCAATGTGTCCTCAAGTATTCAAGGATGGCTAACTGACGCCGCCGCCACAGTGGCGTATTGATCACATATGCAAGTCCCGCGACTCATCTCAGTTTATCCTATACGCCCACAGGTAGGTTACCCTTGGCGGCGTGTGCAAGAGCTCGATATATCGACTTCCCCGAGGTCGCAACTTCTTACACGGTCCCTGACCTAACTTATTTACTTTGACATTAGCGGAGCTCGTTATCCACGAGATAACTCGTTGATCATCCAGATTCTCTCCAGCGCATCTGCCACTCAGAATCAGAATTTAATTTTCATCCCAAGACAATGGAACGCATACTGACAGTGAGTGACAGCGTGACATTGGTGTGTAGGTGCCTGAGTTGTGGAGTTAGGTTTCTGTAACTCTCTACCATCCACCAAAGGATACCTGTTGTTAGGTAAGACTACGATTGGCGACGGAATCGTACCTCGAATATGCCTACATGCGCCCATGCCCGGTTCTTCCTCGGGGCTCGAACTCAGCTCAAATATCTATTTTTTTAACATTCTGTGGGTAAATTCAGGGTTTAAAATCATCCCCCTCGGTTTTAGGCATGCACCAGAATAGAGTCCGCAAGGTCATTCTCAACGACGACCTTGTCTTCGTGTGAAGTTGGAGAGAGGCTGTATAGCTGCGCAGCGCACAGTCAACATTAATGACGCTCAGGAGAGCCTCGACCTGTCCCATCATCTAAGCAACAGTGTTCCCTCTGCTCCCACTCCCACTTAAACTTGGACAATCAGTCAGTTGGACTGAAGGCGGTATATATGTTTACATCGGTCGCGATAATATAGCGGTCCTGAACAGTGTGACCCACAACCACAATCATAATCACCGGTCATACGAGCGACACAGGAGACCTTCAAGTCTAACAAGCATCGGCTCCTTGATGACGCCAGCCACATACCGAACTCAACCTTTTTTTTTTCTCAGTGTTACCAATCCATAATATCAACGAGCGGTGACGGCGAGACACTCCGAGCTGATGATCAAATATTCCCACTGCATTGGATTGATCGAGAAAAATGTAAAATATACGTCAAAGCTTAAGCAAAGGACACCCTCTTGCGAGGTGCACGATCCTGCGCGGGGCTTGACTTTTGATGGTCCGCGGGGCCCGGGCGCTCCTTGCGCATTTTTACTTTCTCCCTTTTCAGCCGAGCCCGCTGGATCGCAATGGTAGCCTTGACCTCCTCCTAGAAACCGCGTAAAAAAATAATTGCACCCTACGCACAGTCTTTGATGATTTACCAATTTCTTTTTTGTCCTGCTTTTTTGATGAGTACGGTCTGGTCGGGGCTGACCAGCCTACGAATCGGAATGATTTGTGATGAGAGGGATGTATCGGGGAATTGACAGACTGGGAATGTGATGTACCTACCTGCGGTTGATGATGCCTCCCAGCCTTAAGCAACGCTTTATCCTCCTGTGAATTGCCGATTGACACCGCTAGATCCAAAGAATCCTAACCGTAAGGACTTTCATGAGATAATTTCTGGCTGACGATCGCGAGTAATGCAAGCGCTGTGTCAGAATGAGCGCCCTACCTTGCCGTGTTCATAGAAAACTTTCCTCTTTTTCTCCTTCAATGTTGATAGTGGGAGTGTCACGACAGGCGGTCCTGATTTCGTCATAACATGGAGTTTCCCGTGTCAACGAAGGCGCGGAAAGTGGAGGCGTTCAAGTCCAGCCGTGACGGAATCAACTTGAAAAGGATTCAGACTGATGACTCAGCAGAAAGTTAGTAACACAACCTTCCGACGCAATCAATCGCCTTTGAAGCGCTGCCGTGTACCAGCTATCAATTATCTTTTGTCACACTGTGCGTCTGTTCATCATATGCAGCAACAGGAGATTGGCGTAAAGCAACCGGTAGACAACCGGTCGACAACCAGATTCCAATGGAAACGACTCATAGGATTATGTGACTATTTTTTCAGCATCTGATTCATCTGCGGTCCCGTTACAGTCAAATGCAGGGGATAGCCTGAGTCCACCTTCAATGAATGCCGGCAACGGAGGGTCGCCAGCAGTACGACATATTCCAAATTCACGCTTGCAGCTCAAGCTTTCTCTTCAATTGTTATACCAGGGTAACCTAAGTCATTCCCGCAAATCAAGTAGTTTAACTTTGTTCAGGTATTGACAGGATGCAATCTAGCCATATATATGGGTATCGCCAACTTTACTTACTTCATGCCGCAGGTGTGACCGAATCTGGAGTTGATCCCCGGGTTCGAATTGTGCCCGTCAGGACCTTGTTCCTCATACGATTAGTCGTTCTCGAGAAAAGGTCCTGCGAAAACGCTATCAAATGACGCACGGCAATACCTCTCGTTTTGGATGGCTGGCGACCTGTTCTTCTTGTGCACAGATGGCCACCAAATTCAAAATGCATAATCCGCTTTAGCACCCTGAGCAGACACGCTACGTTCATTCCATTGCCGTGTATGCTACATAGCCTATCGGGGGATGGATAAAAGGGCAGACTGTTCTTCGTCAAAGATCACCCACCAATCGACTAGAACACTTCTTTCTACAACACTCATATATTCACCAACCACTCTCAACTACTATCAACAATGTGCTGCTGGCGCCAGTATGTGCAGTCGTCAAATCCTTTCATGGTTTACTGACCCTCTCTTCAGTGTTCGCAATGTTTACCTCCGCTGCGGACACGCTATGAATCTCGTAAGCCTCACACGAATGACTCTTAGCGACGTGGCTAACGTCAATGACTTTCCTACGTCAGCCTGATGAATTGGTGAGACATCACAGCACAACGATACCAGCGATCTCTAAAAGTTTTTGCAGATCGTCTGCGACAGTTCCAGGTGCAAATTTGGCCCCAATCACCCTGCCACCTGCCTCCCGCCCACGTGCAAGCAATCTTGCGCCCAATAGTGCGTGCACACGACTCATTTACGATTACAATGACTGACTTGCATGATGATGAAAATTTCTTACCCCCGCTCCACTCGCATTTCGGACAACGCCACTCTGATGACTCGTCGGATCATTAGTCGCCAGTATCCTCAACAATATTGTAAGCTCGTGATTGTTATCTCTCGCTGTTGTTTCTAACAACAGACATTATAGCGCCCAACATCAACAGATTCTGCCCCTCGTGTGAGCAGGCTGGACGCCGCTGAGCGCCGAGCGCCGAACATCATTGTGAATATCTTATCTTGCACCTTTAATTCTTAGAGCCCAGGCCAAAGACCCCTTTCGTTAATTATTCCATGTGTCATATTATTTATAGTGTATCACCTAACATCGGGATCGACTACGCGTATAGTTCGCTTTCTTGTTACTGAATATCGAATGATCTGGGATTTGTTAAAGTTTGTCCGACCGAGGAACGTTGCATGAAGCCCGGATAATTAACTGAATTGGATGGCGCTGTGCCGTAGCTCGCCCGAGTCATCAAATGAAACCTAAGAGCAAAATGCGTTTCAGGCCACTTACATACAGGATGATCCTCACGGTCCCTTGATCAAATGCGATGAACCGGGAGTCGCATCGTCGTGGCGTACGATGGTCGAACAACAATAAGTTTTTTTTAAGGTTGCAACCGCAGTTTGATCATTCTTTGTCTTGGCGTCACAGTAAGTTTGTGCGGTGTCATATGGGTTTCTCTGGTGAAGTAATGCTGTTCCCGCAGTATATGCCGCTTTTTTACTCCCCTTTTAAAATTATCGTAAACGATTGGTCTGAGCAGGCGGCCGTCGTGTGGTCAGGGCACGCGGTACACTCTATTTGGACATGGCACGTTGATAGGTCTTTGCCATCGGTGGGACTGCCGTTAGGATACGGCCGCCAGTCAGTCTTGATTTAGGGTCTGCGTGGTGAAGCACTCCATCAGGACGGGATTCGGTTGACAGGCTAATAACAATAAAGGAAACAATGGTGCTAACTCTGTATGCGCCGAGCCATACCCTGGGGGATCATCCGTAAACCTCATCCAATGGTTTCCGTTCACATGTACACATCAGGATGTCCGTAAACTGCCGGGTAGCCGAGCTGACAGCAAATAGCCATTAATGGGGTGTCCGTTACTTTTGACGGTTGGATTGAATAATCGCCTAGATTCTGCCAGTAATGTTGAGAAAAGCCTGACTAGTATGTACTGATTGTGTTGCAAACGCTTCGTGCGCTACTAGTGCTGTAACCGCACGGCCGCGGAGACTGAAGTTGTAGACCAGTACCATGGAGATCTCGAGAGAGTACTTAGATGTAAACGTCATGATGATTTACGTACCTTTTTAGGCAGCCCTGAACTCGGCCTCAGCAGGATAAGCGGTTTTGAATTCGATAGCCTTCATAATAATTACGGTGGACGATGTGTGTCAGGTATCACCCTCAAAACTTAACGTGGGAATCCTGCAAGCCAATAATGAGTCATATGACCACCCGCCGAGACGGGTTGACAGTCACGCTACTCCGTTTTCGACTGAATATTAAAAGAGACCATCCGCCGAGAGGCAACCGTTGACACTGTCTACCGTTTTCAACTGAATGTAAGTAATCATTCCCGAGTCGGACGTGTTGTCGCGCCACTGATTTCGATTGAATGGAGGTGACCATCCACCGAGACGGAAGCGTTGTCGCGCTAACTGTTTTCGATTGAATTGGAAGTGGTCATCTGCCGACACGGAAGTGTTGTCGCGCTACTGTTTACAACTGAATGGAAGTGACCATTCACCGAGACGGAATTGTTGTCGCGCCACCGTTTTCGATTGAATGGAAGTGACGCATATGCCGACGCGGAAATGTCGACAGTGCCTCAAAGGTCGGCTACTGCTTTAGACCGAATGGAAGGTGTGCACTGCTGCCCTATGATACGGTACTAAGCATTAATTGCACCTCCGATCTGAGAGAGATCCAGCTGAAGTCCGCGCCTTAGCAGTTGCGCTGGTCTATTTTCTTCTGAAATGGAAGACAAGGAAGGTCTTTTCCGATGGCAGTTTTCATCGGATGATATACGCATCGCCCAGACTTGTACGAATAAGTAATAGTAAGCAGGATCCAGACAAAGGTGCCTTGTTCTTCAACTTCTATCAAATCATAACCCGTGTGTCCCAACGTTACTGATGTAGCGCCAGAATTGTGGCGAGCTGACGCCGCTTGTGGGAATAGTCAATTTGTCTAACACCACCAGATATTGTAGAATTTGTCCTGGGAGTGTTGGCTTGCAGCGTAAAGCAAACTCAATATTACATCGGTACCATGACAATATATCTGCGAAAATCAAACCGTCAGTTACAGATGGAGTGACGAAATAGTAGACGTACAAGTAACGTGAGTTTCATAAATACGTCCAGCTACGTATGCCTGGTCTAGTAATCATGTTTTGTCTCATAAAAGTTTAATCTTTCATCTCCCAGCTAATCCCGCAGCCACATCCACCCTTCGCCTGCGGGTTCTCCGCGATGCGAAACGAGCTCCCTATCAGCTCGGTAGCGAAATCTATTGTAGAGCCGTTGAGAAGTCCGAGGGAGACTGCGTCGATATAGATATTTGACGGAATAATGGCCGGATGTGTGAAGTGGCTGCTGATCCGATTAGAGATAACGCAACTTATTGTGTTGTCAACGCACTAGTCTTCCACATTTCGTTCAGAAGCCAGCTCCATTGTATACTGGTAACCGTGACATCCTCCTGACTCCACTGCAATGCGTAGGCCTGCACTGGGAGAGTGTTCCCGCGTAGCTATAGATTGCAGTTGCTTCGGTTCCATTACAGTTCAGAAGACATTAAGAGTTGATGAGAAGCAGATGACGCACCTCGGCAGCTCGGTTTGTAAGTTCTAGCTTGATATCCTCTTTGGGTATTATGTCTAGATCAAGCTCCTGTGCTTTTAGTTCATCTGGAGTTGGAACAGAAGATATTAAGGCGGCGGATTTTGGAACATAAATGGGTGTTGAGGGGGCTGCATGCACGATTGAGGAGCATGCGAACGACCGCGTGTTGTGGAGGGCGGAGCCAGACTTCCATCTTGTTATCGGCGTTGAGACCATCCCGGAGCGCATATAAATGTCTGCGGCATGTCTCATGCATGTCGACACCAAAAGTCCAAATCTCGGTGCGCTCATCGTCGTTTGTGCGCAGAGGTCGATGATGACCAATTATGATGATGACATGTATTTGGTCATCTACGCAACTGACCTCACGTGATCAACTATTTAATTAAACTGTTTGTTGAACCGTCATGTACATATATGACCGTTTATATGCCGTTATCATGATTTGTGTCATTCGTTCCACGGACTCCATGCTCCGCGTCGGAAACAAGTCCGAACTCTCAGGAAGCTCTTCAGTGCGTGACACTCTTTGAAGTTTGACTCCCAACTTCCACTACATACGCACGAAATGGCGACCGAAAGAGATCCGTTAATCTCGAATGGAACACAAGATCATCGTCCGCCTGGCCCTCGAGACATTTCAAGGTCGACGCGTTACGGAATTTTGATTGGTCTGTGGTCCGCGACTTTCCTTTCAGTGAGTTTTTTCATCCAACAGTCTTTCTGTATTTTCTGATTAGTCGTTAGTCTTTGAACAGTACGTTGAATTTTCTATTCCAACTCATGAGTTGTGTAACTCTCATCAAAACATATCCAGCAACCCTAGTCGCTACTCGTACGACGTCCTGGCTGTTGCATCTATCGGAATACTAATCCGGCGGTTCCGTCACAGTGCTACCATCTATCTCCTCTGACTTTAACAAGTCAAATCAAGCTAGCTGGCTTGGAACATCGTGAATACCGGATTCTTCGGCCCGAAATTCTATTTTCTAATACTCTTTCTTAGGTATTTGCTTGCGGTCTGTACTTTTACACCTTTATATGGGCGGTTATGCAACATTATGGGGAGACGGGGTGCAAACCAGTTGGCTGTATGTATTGCCGCGCTGGGTACCCTGCTTTGTGGCTTCTCTACGAGCATGGAGCTGTTGGTTGTTGCACGATTTGTACGTTCCTTCATTGATTTCATTTCACTCTTTTGTAACATGTTCCTCTAGCTATCTGGCATGGGAGGTGGTGGTATTCTAACGACCTGCACGTGAGACAAACATCGACCAAACCATTCTATTTATTACTAAGCACGACCCATGACGAGTTAGGATCACTACAAGTGATATGTATTCCATGCGGGTACGTTCTACTCCATCGCCTTCACTGTTATCATTATCTCAGGAACACCTATAGTCAAGAGGACTTGCGCAAGGGGTACAAAGTGTGTTTAATGGCGTCTGTTCGGTTTCAGCACTTTTTGAACCTGGAAATTTACTACTTATATTTAGCTCGGCATGGGTCTAGGAGGACCCATAGGAGGTCTCATAAGTGACCGGTAAGCGCACGCGCCTTATCTTGTTTCCTATCTACCATGAATTCTAGGTTTGGTTGGAGATGGGCATTCTTGATCCAAATGCCCTTTTTCGTATTATCGCTTGCTCTTACGACTTACAACTTGCGATACGTCACCCCCGTGAGCGCTTGAAGATTTCCTAAAGTTGTCACCTACTCATACTATATTAGGGTAAAAGCGGAAACACCAAGGACATTCTAAAGAGAATCGATTACGGCGGTATTTTTTCCCTTCTACTCTGTGTGAGTCAATACTATCATGTGTAGATTGTTCTTGATTCCTTGCAGGTTGGATCATGCTTGGTATTCTTGAGTATGAAATACAACGAGGATCTCCCAGTGAGTGATTATTCTCATGAAACATCTAGTTGGTTGACCTTGGCCAGTGGTCGAACCGATGGGTATACGTGCCGCTGGCTCTTGCTTGCATTTTCTCCGTAGTTTTTATCTTGATAGAGTTACTGGTTACCTCAGAGCCTATCATGGCGCCATTCCTCTTGAAACAGAAGGTCCCTGTTCTTGTTGGAGCCAACAACTTCCTTGTATCATTGTGCAACTTCTCCGTGATGTATTTCTTTCCGATGTGGTTTCAGACAGTGGCCTTGACAAGTGCATCGACTGCGGGTATGTTAATGTTGATTTGTTTCAATATAGTATTAACCGCAATCTGCATTATGGATAGGCTTGCATCTGATGCCGAACAGCGTATGCATGTCAGCCGGGTCTTTGTTTGCCGGGTTAGTGGACGCGTCGTCGTCATTTTGTTTTTGATTCTCATCAGCGCCAGATGGATGATGCACCGCACTGGGAAGTATAAACTCATCAACCTTATTTTTGGTTTCTTCCCATTCATCGGCATCACTCTCATCACGTTATTGCGGAAGGACTCCGGACCACTGCAAATGTGGCTGAGCATTGTGAGCGCCACCTTGTATTCTCTGATTGATGTATGAATAATCCTATATCAGGTCCCACTCGGGTTTGGCAACGCCGTCGTTTTACAGACAAATCTTGGTGTGTAGGATGTTGGTAATCGGCTATGCTTTAGGTGGTTAATCATATTGCACACAAATAATCAGTTGCCTTGCTCGCACACCTCCCTGGTGCGTGATTATGGTTCCTGTGCTGAAGTTTTCAATGATGTAATATACCATAGAGAGCTCGATGGCCGTCGGAACTGGTTTTGGTCAACTTTTCAGAGGCATAGGTCAGTCGCTCGTATGGTTCCTGGTTATCAAATGCTCACTGTTCCGGTAGGTCAAGTAGGGGGCGTTGCCATTTCGTCGGCGCTATTCCAGTACAAACTTGACTACGAGCTTCGATCAAGAATACACGGTGATGGCGCAGCAGAGGTGAATTGTTACCCCTCGAGCAGTACATTTCCATGCTACATTTTCTTCATCTAGATTGTGAGTCGGATCCGGCACTCAACTACCCTCCTGGGCGAGTTGCCGCCAGATTTGCAGCGCGCAGCAAGAGAGTCATATGCCATCGGTCTCCGTGCTGTGTTCATGCTTGCTGCATGCTCCGCGTTACTAGCGTATTTCGTCCGACTACCTGTACGTTTCTGGCCTGTTTTTTTTCGGTTCTCTGTTGATGGTATCCCGGTTTAGATTCCTGAGAAGAATTTAGACAGTCCGGCTAAGGAGACTGATACCCAACCCAAGTCCATCAATCCCGGGGCTGAATCAAGAGCTCTGCCTCCTCCCCAATGGTCGCCACGCCGTGGAGAGCGGGGGGTATGAGGACACCCTGCTGTCGCTTTCCAATCACGAGTCCAGTTTCTCCGCCCTCGAGCCGACATAATGTACATATATGAGGTTAGAAAGCGCTTCGATCGGAGGTTCAGACAGTGATAATAACTTCACATTAATATCTTTATTCCTTATTCCAAACATAGAGTAGAAGGGTCTTGCATTTCCGGATGTCTCCGTGGTTCTGATCCTCGACTTCTCAATGACCCTTGTACTTCTCCTCATCAATGAAATCGCACCCAATCCCGATGTTCCTCCTAATTGTTCATGCAGAACTTGTAGCCGTGCACTATAACCCGTCTTGAGTCTTGAGCTTCATATTCGCGAGATGGTTTGATAAGGGGTTATGATAAAATATCGAGTGGCGCAGATCTTGATTAGGAAGACAACCATTTAGTACTAGTGCGCCGCTGCATCGAGGGTTGGTTGTGGTCGCCGAGAGTTCAGGGAACAAACAGCCTAGCTAATCGTTGGCCGATAGGCCCGACAGATTAAGACCCTGATCCCCGAGGTGGTTCGGAAACGGCTACCTTGCGTTTGCGCTTGGTGTTGGTGCCGCGTCCAGTACCTTGCATTTAGAATAATGTGAGTAGAAACAGCGCCAGTAAGCAGAGGAAAACGAGCAAGTCAAAAACGATGGTGGTGGGCGGAAGGAAACAAGCAAGTCGTCGATATCAATGTAGCGAATACTTTTATTCTAGAATGTGAGCAATAACACGTACAAAACGAAAAAAAAAAAAATTAATGAAACAGGGCTATCTACTGCGATATGAAATCAGCGCGGGATATCAGCAGTCACATGCGCATGTACACACCACGTTTGGAGATCTTATCAGGCCTCGAGGTCCGAGAAATCATCCAAGTCATCCTCATCTTCTGCGACCATAGCTACATTCAAGGGTAATTTGAATGTAGTTGGTGTCGTCTGCAACTTCTGTCAGTTTACGGGAAGAAACCTATTCTTTCATTTTCTTCAACTTGGCGTCCTCTAACCCCAGGAGCTGTTTGCTCTCGACGCGGAATGCTTCAAGGAATGATGTGTAGCGCTCGGCCTCTTCAAGCTCCCACGTCGTCGTCACCGGACGTTGACGCGCAGCCACGCAGGAAGCCAGCTTCGCTTAGAATGCCTTGCACAGGGTTGCGAAGCTCAATTGTGAGAGGCCTCTCCACTAGTTGCTCATTCTTGCAATAATTCAACATGAGAATGAACGAACGATTGTAAGATTTGAAATACCTGTTCAGTTTCTTCGGGAGTGAATTCTGGTGGGCGTACCCTCCCTGTTACGCGAGCTGCAAACCGAAGCTCTAGCAGAGAGGGTATGGCTGATGTTTCCTGGCCATTCGTTCTGTCCACAAAGGGAAGCACTCACAGATGGAATCTCAGAAGGCTTAAAGAATAGGCTCTCTTTCCCATCTGGAGGACTTGGTGCTTCATCCGTGAGGAGGAGAGCACTGTGTGGCCCAGTTGGAGTTAGCTCACTCGGAGGTCATCGATTAAAGGGATGAGTTAAAGTTTATCGGCCTGGATAGAACACGAATGCCTGACGGTAAGCTTCTGTATTTGGTGAAGTCAAACGTAGATAAGTCGACAAGAGTTTCATCGATGGATGCTTGATCGAGACCTCAGCCTGTAGCGGTACCGAAGCCCGGTTCGGTCCGGTTCTTGTCCTTCTAGCTGCGAACCCCGAACCAGACCAAGCAAGGACGGCGAACGTTAAACCGAACTCTTATGAACGCGTTCGAACGCCCGAGGGCCCATTCGCGTCAGCGACTAGGCGCGCACAGAAGGAGGTCGCGATGTAAAAAACGGGCGTCGAGTCTCGACTCGTTCGACAAGTAGATTGATATCGGGTGGTACAGCTTTTGATAGACGCCGACAGGTATCCGGCGGCAGCGAGCAGCGGTCGCGTATTCCCGTCCCGGCGGGTGGGCGTACAGGAAATAGTCAAGATTCCCGTCGGTCGGACCCTACGAAACATGTGAATGTTTAAAAAAGCGCTGTGGAACTATCCATATAGTACGATGCATAAAAAAAACCAAGAATCATGAGACCGAAGGTAGGGAATGAAAGAATGAGACCGGAAGCAGGGAACTGACGGGTTTACGAGCTTTGTGCATCCGTGGCTTAGGGTGGCGTTCTCCGCGAACAGCTGGGTTATGGTCCGACACAGGGTTTACGACCTCGACGACGATAAATGTTTTTTTTCTTCAAAAAAGGTTAGCACTGGGCTTGTGTGTAAAACGTTAGTAGCTATGTAGGGATTGAATCAGCTCACGCTCTTTATTCTGGGAGGCCCGCCAGTTCTCCCGTAGACAGACAGATAGGAAGAAGACACCCATTCCTGCGGATTAGGATAAAAAGGGACGTGGGTAGCACGAGGTATCTCAGCGAACAAGTACACAGCAACATGATGGGATTGCGTGCTTCAAGATGCATATGATAGTTTCTGCGAGAGTGGCCTATCACACTGCATTTGACGTGACAAACGTCAACAGATATACAAAACCCGTAGGTATGTGAGTCCATACAAAATGAAACATGTGGTAACTCTAGATCTATAACAGTATCTAGGGCAAAGATATGACTCAGTGAAGAAGAAAAAAGAACACAATTCAAGTAAAAAAAAAGAAAGAGCACTTGCACGCATATATGCATATGAACGAACGAGACAGACGCAGCACCTGAAAATGAACACCGAATGAAGCGATCGGAAGTAGGTTTGAAGGTTTGAAATTCCTCCGCATGACATCATCTTAGACTCTTCCTCATTGTATGTCGGCGCTCGCCTTCGACGCAGACGAAGCTCAAAATGACATCTCCGGTGATAGTCAGACCATGCGGGGTTATATGTAGCAGCCCGGGATTTGTTCTCGTTGCTGGTGTATACGTGGCAACTGGAGCTTGCCTGCTATCGTTGCTCGCCATCTTTGAGAGCAAGATCAATATTTGAGCAAGGTACTTTCTGTGGTGATTCTCACCAATGCTGATCCTTCGCGGAACGTCCATTTATACGACTGCCCATTTAGTGCTGTGAATGTTCTTGACCTAGACGGAAGGGAAAAATAAGACGACTGCGGAAGATTAAAACAAAGAAAAAAAAATCATACGAGCTGAAAAAACTGCTTTTGTTGACATATATCTCGTGTCCATGTACGACAGCTGTCCCAGGTCTACCAGACTGCCACACTACTCTTCCAATCTCCACTTCACTCTGCCCACCGCCGACCTTCTTGACGGTAGTCGTAAATGAGCTAAGATATGTATCGATGCGATACACGGCACCACCCTCTGGGGATAGTAAAGCAGTGTTAAATGGACTGTCCGTAAGAAGTGAATAGTTCATGATTGGGACGGTTCTACAGCAGTGTTTAGTTTGGGGCGCTGTATGAGCTGTACTTATCGGTGTGTGCAGAGTCTGAAGAGCGTGTGGCGAGAGAAGCTCGAATTCTGCCACGGTGGGCGCCAGCTGTCTCCGTGCGCACGGGCACGACATGTAGCGTTGAATTTTTAGGATTTTCGTTCATGAGAGCTGGGGAACGATATCATAGCTGACATGAGTGCTAAGAACAACGTTGATGAACCCATCAAGTCCACATCTACTCGTGTTGCGACGCGTGCAAAGGCAGTGTGCTAGTGACACTGTGATTGGATAGCATCCCTTGGGAATCGTCGAATCGATCACGCTTCGAAAGAACCATTTCGGCTCGGTTCGGCTTGTATTTCGGGATTGACCGTCGTACCTTGTTCTCGTACGCTCCAAGATCAAGTTCAAGTCGACAAAAAACTGTTCAAGTACGCTGAGCCTTGCATTGGTTCTTGTAATAATGTTTGTTCCCCGAGTCTTGATCGTCATTAAAATTTTGTTATACAACACATCCAGCATATATATAAAAACTAACACAGCTCCATAAATCAACGTCTTGCGGTCAAACGTTCAACTGACGAGGCAAAACTCACGTAAGTACTAATAACAACAAGAGAGCGTGAATGCACATACCAGACCTCTTCAGCAGTGGTAGTCATTGATAGTCTGCTTCGCTTGTATGCCCGAGGCGCTTCCGTACTTGGAGGCAGCCGACGCATGGGCTTCCCTACAGCATGCACCCTGTTCAACAAAATACCCGCGACGACCTTGCATCGGGTCTCGCGCTCCTGAGCGGCCCGCTGTGCAGTTCGCTGACGAACTAGGACGTCGATTGGGTTTGAGCCGGGGAGTCTGACGGTGTATGATTGTGAAGCGAGGTGGGTGCGCTGGGGAATGGGTCGTTGTGGTACGGGCAGGGCGCATTCGTTTGAATCATTAAATGGGTTTTCGGAGGGGAAAGGGATAGCTTGCGGTGCGATAGCACGAGGTGGTGGTGGTGGTGGGACACGACGAGCTACAGGGAAGGAGGGGAGACGACGAGAGCTTGAACTAGGGAGTGATGCGGGCGCTATGCGCCAAGAGGCGGTTCTGGCGAAGCCTGGATGGATTTTATTGATTGGGGAGCCTTCGATTACGACGCCAGCGTTCGATGAGAAAGTAGTGTAGGACGGTACGCCTGCGAAAGTGCCGTGGATTGAATGAATACTGTGAGTTGGGACGGACATCTCGTTTGAGGCGGGTATCGTGTACTAGGAGGGATAGAAATACTAGTAGTATTATGAGGGACGTCAGCTGAGCCTGGAAGCAGTGAAGAATTTATAACCGTATTTGTTGCAGCGTGATGAACCATTTCTCACAAGTAACAGCCTCCTTAACGTTGTACTATCCAAATGAAGAACACAATGATTTTTGGCCTAGTGCAACGAATTTCACCCCTCAGCTCTTTGTTTTCCCATTCCTTTTGTTCCCAGTTCACGTCCAAGTCCAATTAGTTGCTACTGATAATTCAAAGGGAGTGTTGTGTTGGTTTATCAATGGGCTTGCGTTGGATACTTGTTCAGGTTACGGCGGTTCCGAGGCTATGCTCCATCATAGGCTGATCCAGAATCTTATCGGCAGTACTTGTGGGCCAGGTCATCAACTTCTATCAAACGCTTTAGACGAATCTGGATTGGTACCTGTCACATGTCGCGTGTCCCGCAGCAGAACCTAGCTTGATACGGTAGTGAGTAGAAGCTTCTATTGGTTTCGCGGAGAGCAGTATGTATGTCCGGGCCTATCTATGTCCCACCAGCGAGTTCTAGCGGATTTTCAATAATCCAACAGCAGGCACCCTGTCATCGGACGCCAGATACCTTGAGCCATACGGTCAGATAACACCATTCTTCGACCCCTTCTTCCTTCAAAACGCACCCTGCTTTCTATTCCCGGCTAGCGATTCAGAACTCCTTCGCCGGGGTTGGAGTATGCGGATGGCGACGTGACGTACGTCTGATCAAGGAGCCTTTCAGCATGTCTCTTGATAACATGGCCCGATAAGAGTGCTTCGTTGTGTGTGACTTGCTCCACACTGAGGTAAATACCTGAGAATCTGTGAGTAGAAGCCCGTCGTCTTCCAGACTTGTCCCCTGATTCTCAATCGCGTTCTTGATGGTAGCAGCCGTCATAGACAAGACCACTACGAATGATGTTTGGCAGGGATCTCGGGTGGGATTCCAACTCAAGGTAGAAAAGTACGCAAGTCTGACTGTAGTAAAGCCAGGATATCTGCCATCAGTCACCACTATGTTTCTACACAAAGTAGAGTTTCCCGCGGATCCGTCGTTGGAACTTTGGAAATCAGGGCCCTGCTAGGCCTGGACAAGCGCTCGCGTGGAGATTCTCCATCCCTGATGCTTCTTCTGCGCGTGTCTAATAAACCAGCAAGTTGAAATGTAGGCCGCTCCTCTCTTCTCAGCTCCCGTAAGTACGATTCACTCCCATCTTCATCTTCGTCTGTCCTTGGGCGCCAATTAGCTTCAGCCTTATAATCGTTATCACTGCAGACCGTTCTGCAGTCCGAACCTGACGTAGATGTCAGACTGTTGACAGCTGCATGCCACATTCGGACCTTTACGCACATAGCAGTCCCAGCTCCATCCATCATAGCAAATGAATTCTTTTACGTGATCCTTTGTTTTCGATCTCATCTAGCCTTTTCTTTGAATCAGAGCTAGCGCTGATCGATCGATCTTCATTTCAGCTCCCGCCTTTTCTTTGCTCCACAATCGGCCCCATGTGAGTGCGCGATTTCCTTCCTCACAAAGTGCTCGAACTACGAGATTCTCCTGCAGGTGGCTTCCAGAATATTTGTCAACATCGGCGATGGTCGGCACAGTCTAGCTACAGGTGAGAAGGTATTGGCGTACAGGTGACTCATACTTTCACTGACTCTGTTCATCAAGGCCTAGGTCTTCGTATACGACAAGGATTTCCGTGGTCTCATTTGCGAGCTGGTGGTGTTCTTTCCCCGAAGGTACTGGCAAACAGGTGAGTCATCTGCCCATCCTTCCACTATGTAGTGCTGACGTCATCTTCCTGGGTGTTCATATATACTAGCTATTACTATTGAATATGAGACTTCTACATCATCGCCTAACTATGTAGATCTCATGTTCACATGTACAAGCTGCTGGTGTCCTTTCTCCTGCTGGAAGTGCAACTTGTTTGTCATGTGGACATTCCGTCATATCTTTGAAACTTGCGTTAAACCGACCCTAGCCATATCGTTAGGTCGTCATGCATTTCCGAGACAGAAAACGACTATTCCCATTGAGCTCGGGATCTATGTAGCTCGAGATGGTTAGAGTCATTCTACCTGTCCGACTACATATATCAGGAGCTGGTGGTGATCTCTCTCCGGAAACACAAACCGCACACGAGCTCTCGCATGTTTCGGCCTCCTTTGCTTGTCAGTGTTTTCTCTACTTTTCCTTGCCAGCTTTAACCCATATCTGCCCTTCAAGATCTTCAACTCACGACTCCAAACTGATGGGTACACAGGCGCTGGCAGGTGAACATTCTGTCATATCTTGTTGAACCGACTCTAGCCATGTTGTTAGGGTCGTCATGCATTTCCGAGACAATCAACAACTATTCCCATCGAGCGCGGGATCTATGTAGTCAGCCAGGTCCCACCGTTCTACCTGTCTGACTACATATATCAGAAGCTGCCGGTGTTCTCTCTCCGGAAACACAAACCGTATACAATCTCTCGCATGTTTCGGCCTCCTTTACTTGTCAGTCTTTTCTCTACTTTTCATTGCCAGCTTTAGCCCATATCCGCCCTTCAAGATCTTTAACTCGTGACGCCAAACTGATGGGTACAAGAGCGCTGGCAGGTGAACATTCTGTCATATCTTTGAACTTGCGTTGAACCGACTCTAGCCATGTTGTTAGGTTGTCATACATTTCCGAGACAATCAACAACTATTCCCACTGAGCGCAGGATTTATGTAGCCGGACAGGTGTCATCTTTCTACCTGTCCGACTACATATATCAGAAGCGCTGGTGTTGTCTCTCCGGAAACACAAACCGTATAATTTTTCGAGCTCCTTTGCTTGTCAGTGTTTGTTCTCTACTTTTTCCCGCCAGTTTTAACCCATATCCGCCCTCCAAGATCATTAACTCGCAACTCCAAACTTATGGGTATAAAGGCGCTGGCAGATCATGCTTATCCTTGAAGTGATCCTGGTTATCATCCCCAGGTCTTTGTGCATTCCTATTCCCAGGTATGTGATGAGAACCACCCGTAATTCTATTCTCCCTTCGATTCGTAGATGTCAGGGATCTATTTCTGCTCATCTGTGTAGATTCCGCACTCCCGTTCGATACATGCTGTTGACGTTTTTTCTTATGTTACAAATGCAACTCTGTATATGTTCTCACACATCCCGTCCGTTGCAGCTACTCAAGTGCTTAATCCAGGTGTGGTATCCAAGGTCGACCACTGTTTCTAGCCATGGGAGTCTTCTCTTCTAATTACTTGACCCGTAGATCTTGTTCTCTCTTTGGCAACGTATCCTCTGCAGTTGCGATATCCGAGTCCAGCAAGTATGGCATGCAGTGTCCCTAACACCGATAATGTACGTTCTCTGTGAACGAGAAAGGTCTTTATCGTTATTGGGGAGCTAGTCATTGATCACTGATTCCACCACTTCACTCGAGAGTGTTCGACCTGGCTGCCATTCATGCTTACCGATGCTCATTCTGACGGTGATGGCAAGTCAGACGAATAGACGAGGAGCTCGAGTACATTCACATCTCTTGCTCGAGTTATCAGCTGACACGTCAAATTGACAGCAGTGCAGGGTTCCTGAGATCAACCTGTCACCACCTGTTACGACCGGCTGGTTCTTTCCATTTCGGGCTTATAAAGCTGTGTGTATATCAAACAGCATCTTCCACATAAACACCGTTTCCTACAAAGTTGTCAACTGCGCGCCCTAGTACACGCGCACACCTACCTAAAAGGTAAGTCTCTATTTTGATACAAACAACATCCCATCTGAGCACATCATGGACTCCCAGATAACTCTCGTTGACAGCGATCCTGATTCCGAACTCGCTCCTCCAGATCCGGCATTCGGTGCAACGACGATACTGGACTTTGATAGCAATGCGAGGAGATTGACGAATGCCACGGTGCGGGGAGAGAGTCACACACGATACTCTGTTGGAACCGTCAGGGCTGGTCTGGCAGGGATGAGCCGCAAGACCATTTTCAGCCAGGGAGAGAGGATACTGGCAACGGTGCAGCGCAGGAATATCATCCCGGACGTGTTGACGCTGGGCGGTGAAACTATGAGGCTTGGCGGCTGGCTGAAGACGCCTATATTCTCATCGTTGTAAGTTGCATCTGACGAGCTTTTGCACATGGTGGACGAGTTACAACATCTGATGATCTAGTCCTGCGTCGTTCCGCGAGGGGAGAGAGACGTACCGCTGGAAGAAAGGCCGGGACGGCAGAATCGATGTGGGTTTAGGGCGATCTAAATAAATGTGCACGGGTTCTGACGGTTTTCAACAGCTGTACAAGGGAAGCGGTGCTGATACTAGTACAATCGCTCGTTTCTATCCCCCCGATTTCGCTGTGACGCGCGATCGGAGAAGGATAACGTATCGCGCTCACTTGGACCTACGAGCCGAAGCTGATCTCATACGCGAAAAGGTGTTCATATCATGTGCGCTGATTGTGCAGAAGAGGAAGAATGCGAAGGTGAAGGAGCAGGACTTAGGTGTCGGTTAATAGTGATGAGCTTGGATTGATTTTTTTCTACGCGATTGCTCCGGTCCTTGGGTTTTGACTAGACGAAACCTGTCCGAAGCGCTACCATTTATTTATTACCTGTTCATATGCAAAACTTCTGCGGCAGTCCAACTTCAGTCTTAAAATAAATGTAACCTACTAAGTCAACTGCACGGACTCCTGCAAGAGATCTGATGAATATATACTTAGCATATACGGAAGTCGCGGCAATCAACCACTTCCCCTGCTGAATCAAAAGTCTGAACTCACGTTGATCACGTGGGCGAATTCCTGTATTGCGAAAAAAGATACTGTCCACATGCTCGTGTACTGAGCACTGAACTCCAGTGCTATCGCAGCAGCTGCGCAACCTTTTTTCTCATCCCTCGCTTGCCCAATCGCCTTTCAAGCATTTTATGCACCTCCTCATTCCCAGAAAGGGGGGTCAGACCCTCATCCGCGTTCCAGGGCGGAGATACTGAGCGTGTGCGGTGAACGTCCGATAGAGCACCATTCAGTACCTCTTCCCCATTCAGTGCCGAATCCCCACGCGGCGCGTAAAATGGAGGTGGTGGTTGACTTTCGCGCTTGATGTGCACGGCACGAGGAGGTTCTTGGAGTGAGAACTCATGCCGATTAGCCTCATCGAGTTGCTCTGCATCATCGGACGCAGGCCCGGGTTCATTTTCGCCGTCGTACTCGAGATCGTCCTGATCTTGATGATCCTCCGATGAAGATTCAGGTTCATGCCGTACCCGCAGCCCATTTGGCAAACGCCGCTCTAGCAAAGTTTGCTGCAAAGATGGTCGATAACGAGAGCTGCGAGGCGGTTCGTCGTCGCTACCATCGCTGTCTTTGTTCTCCTTCGAAGTTCTCCTGGTTCTACGCGCTTCCCGCTCCCTCCGCTCGAGTGCCGCTTCAATCCAGCTCTCAGAAGCATGGCGCATGCCCCTCACATACTTCTCAGTCTCTTCTAAGCTTTTGACGCGCTTGTAAACCTCGAGCACGACGTCTGGTGAGTATCCGTGTGCGGCGGCGATACCTGATAGCAAGGATTTGAATCCGACAGAGGCGGACAGGGGTAAGTCGACGGGCGTTATGGATGTAAGTGGAATTGATGGTGTCGTACGCCCAGATGTGATAACGTAGTTAGAGAGGTGAGCTGGGATGGCCGATGGTGTGGAATGGACGGCGAGAGAGTGGCGGAGGGGTAAATGAGATGCCGAACTACTGGCTCTAGAACGGGGCATTCGGTAAGTTGAGGTTGATAGAGTGCGAAGGTCCATGTGTGGCAGGTCATAGCCACCAGCTGTCTCTCTGGTAGCAGTGGTTAGTTTTGAAGGTCCGGGGGCAGGTTGGGCCATAACTGATGCTTGGCCCATAAGAGGAGCTGAAGATCGTTGATATTCTGGCTTGCGTTCCGCCGAAGATGTTAATGCAGTCGGTCCTCGTCCTACCTCTTTCTCTTTGCCCTTCTTTCCCAGAACGGGAGGCCAAGTCGTCATCGGTTTCTCCTCAGAACGACTACCAAGTCGCACACGACCTAGCCGATCAGTAAGCGCCGTTGTAAAGTGCCCTTCTACCACTTTTGGGAGAACTTTCGCCTTCGAAGGAGTAGGACGATCGTTTGTTGGCGAGAGCGAGCGGAAGATGGGAGAAACAGACTTGTGCTTCAAGACTCGTTTGGGCACTGGTGGCGGCTTTGGGGTGACTACCTGCTGTGAAGATGAGGCAAGAGGCTGAGAACTTGGTGGAAGCTGGGACGAGATTGGTGGTGGGGTCCTGACAGGAGAATTGACTTGGGACGACAGGACGGGCAGAGTATCCGAGCGAGAAGGGAGCGAAGGAATATTGAACGTGTTTGCTGGTTTCGGGGAAGGCGGAGGCACGTCGGACACAGCTTCTGATGGACCCTGATAAGGTGGAGAACTACGAGCTTGATCGCTTGGTCCAACGGCGGGAGTTTCGTGTGTCCCATTGGTCTTGATCAAGGGCGAGCGACTACTCACAGTAACTGGCTGGTCTTTCTCCAGTCTGGCTCGCTTTACTTTCCGATTCCCAGAAACTTCTTGACTGCCAGCCCGTTTTTTTCCTTTCCCGGTCTCCTTCGACCGGTCCCTCGCAGCTTCTCCGTCGGGAGGCGGAGACTGAGGCTCCTTCCCTGTTTGCTTCTCCGTGTTCATTCCTTTTTTCTTCTGATATTTGAGTATTCTCCTATCGAATTCCTCCATATTGTTCCTGTATCGGGTCTGCCACGACATCCATGTGTGCGTCCTGGACCAGTTCCATTTGTTATCGACCTATATTAGCGTTATAATTTGTTTCACGCGATAGACATGAGAGAAACTCACATTTTCCGCAAGGCGTTTGTACAAAACGTTTCCGCTTCTGTTCTGCTTAGTAGGATTGTATGTCGCGATATATTTCATGAGGAGGGTGTCCTCGTCTGACGTGAAGCCCGCACGAGTACTAGGAGAAGCATGGTAAGTCAGCAGCATGAATTATGCAAATACAAGTACAAACCCTTTTGCTGCGGCTTGTGACATGTTTGCGGTTCAGTATATGCATATGAAATATCACTAGATCAAATCATGGAAGCAGGGCGGTCCAGGCGCGTCTGGTAAGTGACGCGTCAAAATCACGCGGGATAATGTCACGTCACGCCCTCCACGACAGTAGGCGGCGAGCACTAAGCTAAACAACACACTAACGCTCGTTTAATTTGAATGATGGTAAGCTCAAAGCTACGCATCGCATTTATTCACCCTGACTTGGGAATCGGTGTGTATTTAATGGTAAATTCGAATATTGAGCTCAACTCACACTATGACACGTAGGAGGAGCCGAAAGGCTGGTTGTAGATGCTGCATTGGGTTTACAATCCCTGGGTCACTCTGTCGATATATATACCTCCCACCATGACCAGCACCACTGTTTTGAAGAAACAAGAGACGGTACGTCAGGAAATACTTGTTCAGTGACCGCGTCACCATCTTACAGCTCTCCTTTACAGGAAGATTGCGCGTCCATCATGTGATTCCGCCGCTACCTCGGTCTATACACGGAAAGTTTCATATCATGTTTGCACATACAAGGCAGCTACATCTCACAATGCACCTCATGTGGACGTCAGCGCACCAATATGACGTCTTCTTTGTTGATCAACTCTCTACTTGCATACCATTCCTCCGAATGTTGTGTGGGAAGCGTGTCGTTTTCTACTGCCATTTTCCGGATAAGCTTCTTGCAAACGGTGCCTATGTAGAGGACCGGCCGCGGAAGAATGTCGGTATCCTGAAATCCATCTATCGCTTCCCAATGGATTGGTTAGAGGAAGTGACTACGAGTATGTGTATCACCACTTGTCCAGAATTCACATTTACCGGAGACCTAGCACAGGCTGACCTGATTCTTGCCAACTCAAAATTTACTGCACGAGTAACCAAGTCGCATTTCTCTTCCCTTAGACACCAGTTGAAAGTTGTCTATCCTGGAATCAATATCGCAGCCTATATTTCACCAATCGATCCATCAGATTCCGATATCCTTCAGGTTTCCTCGTGAGTGTATTTTCTTTCGTTTTTTCGTGCATAGATCATTCAAACATTCTCGGTGAAGACAACAGCGAACATTACTGTCCCTGAACCGGTTTGAGATGAAGAAAAATGCTGCTTTGGCAATAGAAGCATTCGCGATACTGCGGAACAAGGATCCGAAAACATCAGACGTGAGGCTGGTTCTCGCTGGTTGGTCAGGTAAAAGTTCTTATACGAGATCGTCACTAACCATCTTCCAGGTGGCTATGATCCTCGTCTAGAGGATAACATACGCACGCTGAAATCTCTCATTGAACTGGCACAGTCCAGTGGTTTGACTTACAACATTGTCACCCCGTTGCAGTCCCGCGTGGCAGTACCGTCGTTCCCTAAGATAACCTCGAATGAGCCGGATATATTGTTCCTCTTAAACTTTACCACCACTCAGCGTTCAGGTTTACTGCAGGCTCAATCTACGCTTGCTCTGTTATATACCCCAGCTAACGAACATTTCGGAATTGGACCAGTGGAAGGCATGATATGCGGCCTGCCAATACTTGCTTGCGACAGCGGTGGCCCCACAGAGACTATCGTCGACCAGCCAGCAGATCAGAGGACCGGATGGCTCTACCGTCCCCAGCCATCGGTGTGGGCTCAAGCATTGGAGGAAATTTGTAAACTCTCAGAGACAGATAGAAAGGCGCTCTCGCAGAGAGCTCGGGACCGTGCACAGCAGATGTTTGGAATGGAGGCGATGGCGAAATCCCTCGAGGGAGTTTTGGAAGAAGCGGTATCTATGGGACCAGTGTCAAGAACGGGGATGTGGCTCGTGATGCTTGCAGTTCTGGGTTTACTAGTGGCTTTAATCTTTCGGTATGGATCATTTTCAGGGTAGCTCTTTGATTGCGAACGGACAGAACCTTTTTTGCAGTTTATTCGATAGGTCAGGATCCTATCAAAAGTTACGCGTAATGGCAAAGTCTTTGAACCACGTGTACTGTTGCTTGGGAGTGGCCCAGCCATCTCCGTGCCCGCCGAAGAAAGTGCTGAAGAAAAGCCCAACAAAACCCACCGCCGGTTCATCGCTGGAATCACTGGTACTATTACTCAAGACAGAGATCCTGTCAGCGATGAGGATCGTCGGCGCTTCTCGTGCTGTATTTATGACGGATGATTGAGAAGCCACAGCTTCTTGCGCGGTGGCCGTCACTGCCAGAATTCCCAGCAGACCACCTTGTGTTTGTTGTGGAGTTGGCGGCGTCAAAGACTTGGAAGTGGTTTTTGATTTTGACTTCTTTTTCTGCTGAGGTGCGTCGCGATAAAATATGTCTGTCCGGTTGATCACCTGCATCCCGTTAACGAATAAAGCAAACGCTCCATCCTGCTTTCCAGGCGTGTTGAGCACGACGTCCTGGCGCAATGTCGTCCAATTGCCTGTGCCGTAGTGGAAGGATCCCCTTCCGATTGAGAGCCCGTACTCGGCATCGCAGACTGATTGGGGATCCGAGCATAACGCATTTGTTTGCTTCCTCTTTGGAGCGTACTGTGAACAGGTCAGCCCCTTAAAAACATTATGAGTGAATCGACAGACTAGATACAGTTCGCCGGCGCCATCTTGCCTCCACATCAGTCGTGTGCTAAAGCAGTCTTCGGCAGCAACTCCCCCGGAACAGCCTGTATGGCCACCGTAGAGACCTGGCAGCTTTCCGCCCTTCACCCAGTCGAAATCCGCGGGAAAGTAGACGCTGTATTCCATTGTGACATTCCTGGCATCGCTCAGGTTCAATGGCGACGCATAAAACTCCGCCCCACCTGGGGATTTGCTGGAAGGATTGACGGAGTATGCTGGGTAAACAAGCTGTAAGGCTGCGGTGAAGCCCGTAACGTCGTGTATATTTGTTGTGCTCTGTGACTCGATTATATCCTGGGCATACACAGATCCTCCTGGTACAATGGCGAGTGCAGAGACACTGTCGATAATGGCGACATTCTTCTTCCCACTGGGAAAGTGAGTGACGTTAAATGCAGATAAGTCTTTCATGTCCGGAGGAGTCGCCCATGCCGTCCGATCGCCCCATGGCGTGCTGGTGCTGGTCACAGTGGTCGTTGCAGTCACTGTCTCGACGACTGTAGTCGTAGATGTGGGAGTGATTGTAATCGCAGTTGTCACGACATCGGTGAGTACGATTGTATTGACTTTTGTGATGACAGTTTGTGAAGAGATCAAAAGGTAGGTTGTGCCGACAGAGGTAGATGTTGACGCGGGACTGTAGAGAGACTGGCTAATGGAGGGAAGGATGACCGCAGAGGCCAGCTGGGCAGTTGTGGCCGTGCTGACACCCCCAGGGTCTGCAGGTGCAGTCAAAACAGTCGGTATAGCTAACGCTATCATAAAAAGCAGAACCATTGATGCCATCCTGCAGAGAGAATATCACTTTTCTAGAGAAGCATGGACACCATGTGCGCCACGCAGACATGTGCAGACGAGATTCAATTTGAATCTGGCAGTCCAGAACAAGATCGGTGAGTTCATGAGCAGACGAAATTCAAATGGTACTAGTCTGAACCTTCGCAGGCACAGAAAGACGAGTGAAATTGTCATTCAGACTGTCCTTCTGATCATCGAAACATTTGTAAATGGAATAATGTTCTCCAGGACACACGCGCCTCCACGGACATCTGTAACGGTGATTTAACCAATCGCTGAACCAACGCTGATTACTGCCTAGACTTAGTTGTCGGTGAAATTTCTTTGCAGTCCAGTTTTATGTCTAGTTGGGGTAATCTACCCCATGCCGGACAGCATAATCTAATCTAAAGGGCACCTGTGTCCTATGTCATACCACTGAATTTGCAAATGCCCTAGTACATTGCCCAAAAATCCCTCAGGAAGTCAGCTCATCGCTCCAGCTCCAACATCAAGCACAGGATAAATTCGACGCAGTTGAATGGCAAAAGCCTCAGATACAACTACCTCGTTTGCAGTGGGTAGACCTCTTGCACTACATTATGCGCACATCATTGAAAACGACATATAGCTCTTTTAGGACTTGCCATAGTGACAATTCTGCGTATATCACACAATTAAATGTTTCCTGGTGGGTATTTTCCTAGTACCCACAACCATCACTGAAGTATAGTCATAACAGGTACTATGACTGAAGATGCAATAAATACTGGAGTTAACGTTCACCCACAAGCAGTGCTAGTATTTTACTGGGATGATCATCCCGAACCCGCGATATTTAGGAGTCACTCCAGCTCATCGACAATATTGTACAAAATACATACATTGCAATATTGGCAACTTGGTCTGACTCGTTACATATACTGACCAGAGTACAGTAATCATAAACTAATATATAGTATGTACAAGGATAAGATCCGAGACATAGAACATGAGTGAAATGTAAAGAAAATACCGAGGCACAAGAGAACTTGAATGATATCAGGCGGCGATTGGAACTGCAGGTCTAAATGGGAACTTCGTCTACAACGGAGACTTGAGCGAGCGCAACATTTGCAGAGGTAACGTTCCCGGGCTCCGAGGAATCAGCATAATTTGGGCGAGTAGGCTGCTTAATAGGCATTGTAACGGGGTCGGCCTTCTTAGCACGAGCACGGCCCTTACGCTCCTCCACACCTTTATCAAGCTCTTTAAGCGCTTGATCCACACGAGTCACGACCGCACGCCTTGCATTCCTCACTACGCCTGACCCAAAGCTTGGAATGTTGTCCAAGTCTGCGAAGAGCAACGAAAGCGCATGCTCCTGAGCGCGAACAGGTGCATTGGCCGGGGTATAAGTCAATGCAAATACACCAGCGGTGTCGAGGGCTGGAGAGAAATCGAGCTCAGCAGGGAACTGGAAGGCAGCGAGGAGGCTCTCGAGACGGGTGGAGAGGGAAGAGATCTGGGAGAGGGAGGAGGCGACCTGTGCTGGCCACGCAGCAGACTCTTCTTGGGTGTCAGAGTCAGAGATCTCCCTGGCTTCTCCTTTTCCCTCTTGCAAAAGTACGGGTCCCTTCTCGTTGACATTGACTGATGATGATACGGGATCGCGTTCGATAGGAGCTTTGATCGTAGTGCCTTTAGAGAGGTGGGTAAGAATCGCCTGGAGCACATCGCGCACTTCGGACCGGTGCTCTGCCAAAAGACGGCGCTGTTCCTCGAGATGTGAAGAGATCATGTCCTTGAGCGAGGGCTCGTCCGAGCCAGAGACCTTGGGTTGTAGTAAGTCACACGAAGCCGAGTTATTGAACCTGTGAGAACATCTAGGATTGGTGGTCCCTGCAAAGAAGTTCTCAGCATCTAAACGGCGGCGTCGAGCGAGGAGTCGTTGCTCTTCGAGGTGAGCCTGGAAAACAGCAAGATCGTGCCACTCATGTTCACAAACAGCCTGATTGCGGATAGCACGGTTAGCTTGTTGGATTTCAACCTTCTTATGGGCGCTGTCACCGTCGAACGGGAACTGGGTGTCGTTAAGAGGGAAGGGGAGCGGGCGGTAGTGGGAACAGGGATAAGTGGTGAAGGACATTGTGAATTTGGGATTGGGATGAGTTTATGAGAGATTGCATGTTGGATGCTGAATTTATATGTCTGGATGATGTGGACTTGTGGACTACTAATCCCTTTGTGAGCAGAGGCGTCCACTATTCTGTAATTTCTGTCGCTCAGAAAGGCGCGCCACGGTGAATAGTGACGTACTGTCACAACCGTGACCATTGACAGTTTGACACGACTAAGCTAATACATGTTCAAGTTGTCCGCTACTATGATACAACAAACAATAATATCATGCTTTGACCTTGACTCATTTCGCGACACACTTTTTCTCTCTGTCAAAGGGAACCATTCCAAAGAAACCGTCGAGATGGCCATGAACTGGTTCCGAGTGTCAGATATGATACGTATCGTAAAAGAGCGGCTCTCAGCCAACGAAACTCCTTTCCAAGCAGCTCTTGTCACACAATGTTAGATGTCTCCCCCATGTCAGAAATCAAGATTTCAGCTTGCACATGGGACTGTGTAGTAGTCGTACTGCATGCCATCCAGCTTCAAGGTGAAGTTCTTATCTGACATTAATTTCCTGGACTTCAAGTAGAAGAACCGAGATGCCGCACTGCAGTCAAAGAAGGAGGGGGATACGAGGTTGTCGAGGACGCCATCCCGGATGAGCTTGCTGCCGCCACTGTTGAGCCACAACATGAGGACAAATTGGAGCTTTGGGAAATGTCGATTTGATTCAGGAGCATGATCGGGTCCTTGATATTGTTGAGGAGGAGTGGCGGCGGTCAGGAGTCCGGTCGAGGAGCTGGTGTATATTTGTTTTGTTGTCTTATCGTCTTTTGTCTCACCGCCATACAGATCCTTGCAGAACGCAAAAACAAAGAAATTCCCCATCAACATCACAAATCTCAACGCCAGTATCAGATGTAGCCAGTGCTAGTACCGTGCACCTTGCGTCTACTATTTTTGCACTTGCCTTTTATGTTTATAAATTTGCTTGTGTCACAAGAGAACTCACGCTAAGCTTGCTCTTCAACACCATTGTGACAACTTCTCGAACAATGTTTGATCTGAATCCTCCACAGTACTGATTCCACACCTGTAAGCTCTCAATCTTTTGTCCTTGCTATTGCTGCGCCTAATCCTCGCTTGCAGCAAGAGGCTTATTCTCTCGAACAGACATTTGCGTATGAGTGTGGCGAGGAGATGGATTACGTTTTATCTGATTCGTGGTCATAATCTCTCTTACCACTTGTGGGAAGTCCACGGAGTTTGTTGCCCAACTGAATCGCGCGTCGAGTGCTGATGGAAGCACTGCGGACAGCAATTGACGAGAGCGCACTGTTGAGACAATGTAGAAGAGGTGCACCTTGCAACAGTGTACGCTTGCGGCTACGGTATTCTCGCGAAGATATACTCTTAGAAGGAACGACTAGAGTCCTCTTTCAAGTTATCTTGCAGCGGTGTGCTGCATGTGGAACTCTCCTGTAGGGATTAATATTTGGCACTAAGTGATGAATTGGATTTATAGCCTATAGGTCACTCTGTGAGACCGCGTACGTCCCGCTTAAACTGTTTACTGTAGCTAATTTGCCTCAGACTCAGCTCAGACTCCGCACGCACATGTGGTACGAATTCCTCGAAGAGCTTTGAAGTCCGCCACTCAAATCGCAACTGTCGGTCTTTGTATAAATCATGCGTGGCAACAAGTGGGCTAATTGCCAGCTTCATTTGTGACAGTTCCAGCGAATTTACTACATATTCTGTGCGCTTATAGTGTTCATATCGAGGCACATGACAGTCTCGACTGCTGTACAACCAGGAGTTCTCGCCCATTCTTGACCTTGTGACTATCCTTCTCATCATGTCAGTCAATGCACACATGCCTTCACGGGTATTCAATAAACCCGTAATTTTTATTTCATCGCTGAACGTTTGCAGCGCTAACATCGAGAAGAATATAAATACAATGCGGTTGAATTCTAGAGACCTCAGGCCTCAGTGACAAACACCTCTTTTACAGTGAGTAGCCCTCCTGCGCTACATCATGCAAATATCGCTAAATCGACATATAGCACTTCTATCACTTGTTATAGCAAATAAGTTGTGTACATCGCACAGCCAAGCTTTTGTTGGTGAACATCTCTCAGTACTCACCGCCATTACTAAAGCGTGGCTGTAACAGGTACCATGAAGCCTATTCAATCTATCTACCTCGCCATCCTTGCCGCTGTTGTTGGGGTGAATGCAGTCCCCGCCAATGACGGCACGATCTGCTTGGATATGTGCGCTGATCGGGCTGTTCCCTGCTCAGGAGCATTGCAATCTGTCCAGATGGGCACGTGCTGGACCTGCTGCAGCACCACCTGACGCCTGAATCGAATTTCCGAGTATCGTCATCAATTTCGTAAAGCGTAGCATTATGAATGCATTGATTTGATGAAGTCCTTGTTCGAGCAGAATTATTGTCATAAGAGTCATGTTCCGTCCAGTATACGGGTGATTCTAGTCAGACCGATTGGTTACATAAGTTGATGTGTTTCAGCATGTTGCGCCAATTTTGACTGTTTGACTTGGACGTCACATTCTGCCGAATGGAACAACATTATCCGGGCCAGACACGTCACCGCGACTGATATATCGGCGCAACTAATATAAATTTTCTGTGCAAGGGGAGCAGAGGTGCTTGCCACCATTTGTCTAGCTTAGTCAGCAGTTTATCAGACTCGCCGCAGTAACAGCGAACGTGCAATTATGTAATACAATTGGTCTAGATTTACTTAACATAAAACCTAGTTTTGAGTCATGACTCTACCGTACTCCAGTGATGCATCAGGCTTTACTTATTCCCGAAGTCCTCCTGGAGATATTCACCTATGTGAATACAATACCATCTACTCAAACAGCACCGACCCAGAAATTACTTGCAGCGCTTGCAAGGACATGCAAAATCTTCCACGAGCCTGCAATGGATTTGCTGTGGACTGAAATCCATGGGTTAGAACCACTGCTAGGCTGTGTAACAAGGTTACATCCAATGATATATCATAGTGATACAAGGGTTAGTGTACGACTTCATTACGCTTTGTTCGTTTCTTTTCGGCTCACCGAGCGTCTACATAATAGTGGGACGACTCGGACGAGCCCTGGGCGACAGGTGTTGAGCCATTATCTGCCCATGAGGCCCATCAATTTCTGCGTCACTCCTCCCGTATACGCATATTGAACATAAAATCTGAACATCCGCATCTTCTCTCTGTCATCCCCGCCGAGGCATGCGTATTTCCGAGGCTGAAGTCATTAAGTCTTTCCACCACATATTTGAACCTCTTTCTGCCTCACATGCTGCTCGCTCTGGAGCATTTATGCATCTACACTTGCGATGGTGACAGCACAGCAAATGAGCTGTCCCTGATATCCAATAGGATTCATTGGTGCACACGGCTTGTAACTCTTTCTTGTCCAATGCTCGACTGGGCAACATGGAAGCGCCTCTCCTCCCTCCCTACTCTTCTCAAATTGAAAATTGATCAAGGATATAATGACCTTCCTTCGCTGTCAAGCCGAGATATGGTGAATTTATCATTCCTTAACATCACAAGCTTTTCCTTTCGACAGCGGTACAACGTTGCAGACATCAACGCTACAGACATCATCACAATCATGCAACATTCGCAATTTCCCTCACTGAAAGAGTTCGAGTTTGAAGCCCACTTTCTGTCTTCAGAAGAGGCCGAGCAAGTCTTTCATGCTCTGTCCCACTGGAAAGCGTGTCGGACTCTAGAAGAAATCTCTATTTTTTTTATGGTGACGGATCCGTGGGACCCCAATACGACGAGTTGTTGACACCAATATCGCATCTCCTTTGCCTTACACAGCTCCGAACCCTGAAGCTCGCACTTCGTGATTTCTGCCTCTACCTAGACAATGACATACTCTTGCAAGCTATGTCTAGTTGGCCGCATATCCGCACTCTGGAATTCGAAGACGCTCGTCCTTTTTCCGAAGTCACCCTCCATGGATTATTCACAGCGCTTGGTTTATGTCCACAATTGCATACACTACGAGTTCCAGTCAATCTTGCAACTATCGACATCGATCCTGATGCTGAGCCAATACAACATACCTCCCTACGAACATTGGATTTGGAGACATCCAAGTTTCAAATAGCAGATGCTGAAACTTTCGCTCGCATCATTTCCGCCTGGCTCCCTTGTGTCGACCAAGTTCAAAGTGTAAGGATCGCCTATCCTCTACCCACGGATTATGACTTTTAGGCGCGCTCGAAGTTGTCCACGTGACTCACCGCATCGCTCTTCGTATCCGAGCCATGCCGCTTTCCATTTTCTTTCATTTTAAAACTTACCTTGTGCTTTCATTACACGATACCCGTTTCGCGACCGATATCTTCGACCGCACTACCTTTCTCTCTCGTTCTGGCCTAGTCTCGCGCTCGAAAACGTATATAAACGATTCATGTACATTGATACAAAAGAATTCGATACTGAGAGTTCCCCCACGCAAAGAATGTCCTAACGCATCAAGAAGAGTCTCCTTCGCACATCGATTCGTCCTAACTAACACTCTCGTTTCTCTCGTCTCATATCTAACCCACCTTTGCTCACATTCCCCTTCGAACTCATATAGCCGCCTTACAAAAGTATATATGATTTGAGCTGGGTTGAAGTCAACAGGTATCTTAGATCTTTGAAAGCGGCTACCGCGCCGTATGTCTTGCGAGCCTCCTAGAATATTTGAGTTTGGAATACCTTCACGTCCGGGAATGTTGGTACATACCTTCGAGTTCCTTCGTTATCGTTGTCGTCGCTGTTGACTGTAGTTTGACTGTAGTTATAAACTGCTGTACTAGTAGTTCTGTATAATCGCTAACAACCCACTGGTTCACCGTCATTAGTACGATTTCCAACATGATTACGTGCGCCCTGAGCTCCGCCGTTCACTGTGCTCGACGGTCCTCTTGTATACCTTTTGATATCCGCGTTTGTAACGGCAATGTGATTACACAACACAATAAGTGCTCGATAAAATTCAACAACCACGTAGAAGGATACATCCATGCCATATGATGAGATACCATGGCTACGTCTAGTGCGCTATAAAGATAGTCTAATAATCATATAGAAGAGATAATGAAGAGAGGAAAGCGTGTCAAGAAGAGCGAATGTTCAAGACAAATGTCGCTAGTCGTAGATAAAAATTGTTTCAAGTACTGAAGACAACACTAGAGTACAACAGTAGGAAGTTAGCATTGGTGACAGTGGAGGGCAAGGGGAACGTACAAAGTTGAACGTTGAACGCTGGAATATATCGCGTTGTAGGCTTTGCAATCATGGAGAACAAACCTTTCGCTCCGAGGTGAGATGAGCTCCTTGTCGACGTTGGCCTCGCCTAGCTTATTGTGTGCAAAGATCTATTGACAGGGTGAGTAGCTGTACTCGTTGAAGCGTCGTGTTTGGCCCACATCTTTTCCCACTCCAAATGCGTGATTGATCAGTGGTCAGATTATCGAAAACGCGTTGTCAACACTGGCCCGACATCGGAAAAAGCTAGATACCTTTCCTATCGTTAGAATTTGGAACCTTGAGAGTATCAGCCTCAAGAACGGCACTTTATGACTCACTAAAGACATTTCTGAAATATTTTGGAAGTGGTAGGCTCGAGGCTCTGATCGGAAGAGACGGACTGCTCAGCTATGATTTAGACGGGCTCGATGCCAGACGTGGATCCTTACTTCGGTTGTTGTACTCCTGAAAAGTTCGACGATGATGCTGATGCTGTTTTTTTATGAACCTTGTTGTATTTTGTGCATGTGAGGTTGAATCCGCGAGCGATCAAGGCGAGAATGCAATGTATTGATTCTTGTTTCACCTTGTCTTGAACCATGCGATCGAAAGTAATATCTTCACGCTTAGTTCCAAAACGTTTGTTGTATCGCATATGCAAGGAAAACGAATCCCCGCGAGAAGGCAAAAAACACAGAAGTAACTCAGGTGAGAACATGTGTTGGGGTCAAGTACTTAGTACATGGGTGAAGAAAACGTCCGTCGCAACCTCTTTCCTACTTCGCTGACTTGGCAAATGCTTGTTGATCCGTACCTCAGCAGACTTCACATTCGTTTTCGACTTGCTGAAATCGACGGTGATACCTATTGGGTGTAGGGAATGAGTGCCATGGATGCGGAGAGCCTTTGAGGCGTGAAGAGCATTCGCCATGTTGACCTAATTTAGGGAAGAGCTCTGCTCTGAGCTAGGACGCAAAAGAGGGGGCCAACACTTCAACAGTCGTTATTGTAATTTATGTAACATGAAGCAGAGTCCAGATGGGCCTAGCTTAGTCAGCAATTTATCCTCGCCGAATCAATGCCACATGCGACATTGCGAGTTGGGATGAACCCAAACCGACGCCTTGGACAAGGACGCCAACGGAGGATGACTTGGCTGCCACACTCAACATGCTCACCGCCTGGCACCGATCATGCTAAACTGCTAAACCGGATGGCAATTTTTGCAGGTTCTGGCGGATGTGCCGTGCCATCATGTGCGTACCGAATAGCAGCCTCGTGGGTTGTGCTTCAAGGGAGGGTGATAAAAAAGCCTATCCATGGCTCATAATCCAGTACACCGCCTCAAATGCCAACCACTCCACTTTCTCTTGCTCTGATCCAACTCTGGATCGCCGATCCATCGCTGCCATGGTCCAATCCAGTATGGCAGTCTCTAACACATGTTACTGGCGACCCGTGGGCATACGACCCTTGGAGGGGTGTAACCCGTGTCACCGAATGGACGGTGGACACAGCTCGGGCAGTTGAAGCTTTCATGAACAATTGCAGGACAGCTGGGGATCTTGCAGACGTCGCTGTGAAAGGGAAGGACACTGACCATGAAGGTCGTTCCGCGTGGAACGCCTGGGTTAAGACGTCATGGCCCAAATGGAATATCAACAAACTGGTCGACAACATTTTACAAGAAAGCGGTTGCGAGCCGCATGATGTCATGGCGAGGCTGAAGTGCAAGAGCACAGATGATGTGAGTTACGTGCCACTCCGTTTATTTTATGATATAATAGATTCATGTACTTAGTTTCCAACGATGGAAGCTGCACAGGTGAAGCATGTCGTTTCCATCAAATTAGCCGATGCATTGTTCGGTGATGATGGATTCACCGACGGAACATTCATTGTGCCATCCGTCATGACGTTTATCAGCACGGTGATGGTATTGACGTGGAGCAGATATCGAAAGGCCATCAAACGGCAAGTCGACAGTATCGCGAAGAAGCTTCAGGAAGTTGAGGGGCAATGGCTAGGTAAGCGACGCAGATTGGTCGGTTAGGGTGGGAGCTTAACTGTAGCGCAGCCTGGGCGACCGCAAATTCAAATCCTACCTCGGCCGAGCTCCGCGCCTACCTGAAGAAAGTGGATTCCTTGGTTACACTTATCAGTGCATTCAAGGACAAGGAAACGGTCGAGAAGCTCAATATGCGTCGTGAACAGGTCAATGCGATACTGGCTGGTACCATGAAACATCCCATCAAGTTAGAATATATGGAATGTGAGCGGGCCTCTAAATCCACGATATAATTCGAATACTGAATGTACTTGTTTGTATCTATTAAGCCGAAGAAATGATATTGTAGGTTTTACGGGTCACACTACGCCCTATGCGCACTACAGAGCAATCCATTTATTCTCATGTGTACATGCTTGTCTAATCTTGATCGTGATGACATACGTAGAATTCGAAGACATGAAGCAATAAACTTCTTCGACATAAAATTGGAATCTTCGACCAACCTTGCATCCAAATTAAATGTTCAGGCAGGCTACCCGCACAAAGCTTAACCAGACAGCCATGCTCAACGAATCTTACCGATCTGTTTAGACAGAAGTAATATCCGGTGCAAGTTTTTTTTTGTGAACTCTAGATCTATCTTTCAAGCTGATGGTCTCACGCCCTGCGTCCCAAGGTACGTGACCATGTTCGGACTTCTGGCAAGTTCTCGTGTGCTATTCCAACAGCTGCGGAAGCATCGAATCGCTCCCTGTCCGAAATAGTAAGCCAATCAAATTCTGGTTACTCAATGATACCGCAGGCGCGCTGTGCAATACGTATTGATGCACACATTTTTTTCTCGGGCTTTGGAGTAATTTTAAACTATGATAGGTTTCGGTTGGGCTTGGCTCGGAACGGATGCTAGATACTACGTAGGAAACACCCACGTATCGTACGTTAGCCACTTCCGCAGCATGATATGATACCTCCTGTACGTATCAACGACAAACATACTAGATACCTGCATGCTCGACCGAGTTTATCAACGCCACAAACGGTTCGATGCGATCAGCTGTCTCTGATCAAGAATATTAATCAGATCTGAACTTTTGAAATTCCTCATGATTTTCACAATCGAAGCTGCGAAGGGAAACCATTCGAATGCATGCAAAGAATCAAGACGGTAATAACGGAACTGCATAGATATTATGAATCTGGCATGTATGATGTACAACGAAGAGATCTTATGTAGTTTTCGACGTAGTTAGATTTTTTCGCTTCGTACACGAGCGCCTATTCCGATATCTGCAAACATAAATCCAATAGATGGGAAACAAAGGGGTTTGGAAGATTGGTTCCATGCTAGCGGTGTCAATGGTGATTACAAGCTAAAGGCATACAAGGACATAGTCCAACAACATAACATTTGAGCGTACAGCACCAAACAATGCACCTCCGAAGTCTGCACCACGATCCACGCACCCGAAATAAGCACCCCGCCCAAAATGCGCGCAATCCAAGCCTACGCACCTAAAAAAACGGCCACTGATCCGATCCTCGTAGCTACGGATCACAAGCGATACATGCTGAAAGTGGAGAATGCACATATTCTTGCGCAGACAGTACCGACTTGCGTTTCGCCAGTGGTCGTGAAGCCTCGTGTCGCCGTAACACCATCTGCGCGACTAGCTGGGATATGCTCCCTATGACGCCCTTCTTGCGGCGTTCAGGACTCCTTCCCTCATTTACATCCATGCCGAGCTTGTCGCCGAGCTTCAACCTGAGCAGAGCTCCGACCTCCGCACTCCTCTCCCGCTCCCGCTTCTTTTCGACTTGCGTGTGTACGCATCTGTGCCTTCCAGGCCCTCGCACGACCCCTGCACTGCAGCGAGTGAGCGCTTGCGCAACTCGAAGAGCTGCGCAAGCTCAGGGTCGTTGTCCATGTCGTGCACGGAAAGGCAGAGATTGAAATCCTCAGGCGATGGTGAGCGTGGGAGAGGCACATCCCTCGGATCGTGGATGAACAAAAGTGGCTGGCTAGGGACGAATGGGACGGTTTGCAATGATGAGAGGGGCAAAAATGCGGATGCACTGGGGAGGAGGTTGTCATCTGTGTCAGCACCCGGGAGCGAGAGGAGCGATGGGCCGGGAGAAGGTGGAGAATATGGTAGGTCTGTATCGTCGGGAAGAGAGGAGCAGGACCGCCTGCTGGGAGATGATGGTGGTATATGGGGTAACGCTTTTTCATGTTCTAGCTCGGGAAGACCTGAAAGGGAAAGATGAGGGGATCTGAGCTCTGGAGGATCATCGATGACCATGTCTGTCGATGAGAACGCGGAACATTGGGGGGAGGATGGGGGGTGCTCATCTAGTTGATGCATGGGTATGTGTTGGTGCGATGACCAGGGTATGTGAAGCGGTACGAGTCTGGGACGGGGGCCAGGAAGGTAGGGCGCCTGATCAGATGAAAAGGACGTTGTATCGTTGGATACTGCTACAGACATATCACCGATGTCCTCACTCCCTGAACAGGGAGACCAGGAAAATTTGGGGGAGGGCGGATCATTCCAATGAGAGTTCACCAGGCCATGTTCCAGTGGCGGCTTCCAGGGTGGTGATAGAGGCGAAAGCGGCGAATCTGACTCTGCGGAACTATCCGACATGGCAGATATCCCGTCGTAAAAATCCTCTTCAAAATCACTCTGATGAATTGCATGCCCGCTCTCGTCACACATCGAAACATCGATATCATCTTCATACCCTGGCAACTCCAGGTTATAGAGCAACTGCGTCGGTGGTGGCGTCAGAGGTCTATGGCAAGCAAGGTCCTCGCGGCGCATAACGGTCGGGGAATCCAAGACGCCTGGTGAATGTGTAGTGAAGATGGGAGTAAATTCGCCTCTTTCTTCTGGTAGTGGGATGGTGCACTTTGATGGAGAAGTGCTGGAGGGTGGTGTCGGGTATAAGTTCACCGGACCAGACTGCTTCAGAAGATTGGATGGACCAGGCACGCCTTGTGTGTGTTTAGACTTGAGAGGAGGGAAGTCCTCCTCCGAGAAGGAGAATGTAGGGTTACTGCTGCAGCTAGGAATTGGCTGCCAAGGTTGAGAGTAGTGCGGAGCAAAGGTAAACACGGGCTGCGGGTCTGGTTTGAGCAAGGAGGAGTCATTCAGAGAGGGTATGTATTGAACTAGGGCAGCCCTAGTCAAATTATCCCTAGTATCCATATTATGTCCACCGATATTCAAGCCCTGCAACGAGCGCCGAGTTTGATCAACAAAAAAACAAGCAAACAAAAAAACAAGAACCGAAGACTCACAACTAATAACATCAAAGGCCGCAAGACATCACAAAAGACAGAAGAAACAGGAGAATTTACTGTGAACGATATGGAGGCAAAGAGCGTTGCAGTGCTTGACACCGTTTCTCCTCGTGCCCAAGCAGCTTGTGGCTGAGAAACTCGTGTTCGGTGATTTCCTTGATGGGCCTGCAGGAGATCCACGACGTTGAACCACTACTAAATTGAGCATCACACATCATTTCCTTTTATCTAATACATTTATCTTTACATCAACCATGTCACCTGCTCTCTAACACCTGACAACGACATCATCCTCAATAATTAGGTCTTCTTAAGTGCTGAAACCCGATCCGATAGCGTCTCTTCGCCCTCAGTGGCATGAGGCTCCAACTCCGTACGGTTCACTCCCCTTTTCGTCAATGCATACTCCCTGCACGCATCTACACTCTTCTTTAACTCCGGATCGTCCTCTGCTAGCGCAACTACGTTGATCCCCGTAAAATTGTGTTCCAGAAGTTGTGCAACTTTGGCCAGCATATCAGGATTAGGAGAATACGTCCCAGAGTCGTTATCAATCACCAACTCCCATCTCACACCGCTATCGTCCGTGCAATCGGAGAAGTTCTCCCAGCCACCTTCTGGGCGAGGATGAAACTCTCCGCTGTACACTACGCTTTCTGCACAGTTGCTATGCAGTGCATGCTTCGATGCAAAGTCAACGAAGAACGCCGCCCCTGTCTCTGAGAAACGGAAGGTATTGTCTTCCTCGGCGATAACATACGTGTATACTGCGGGCTTGATGCGATTTTCAAATGCGTTATTGCCGTCTCGACGCAAGCCGCCTCGCAGCAACTTGAACACATCATCGGCATCTGTTATAACCCCAAAACCATTCGAAACGGTCCGGGCGTATAACATGTGGTGGCCAGCCATAATGCCGGAACGCACCGCAATTGATGTAGGCCCTTTGAAAATGGCCTGTGCGCCCTTGTAATCGTGGTTCCATCGTTGCACCGTATCCCCAAAGAATTGCGGAACACCTTTAATATAGATCTTCCATGTCGAATACAGCCGCGTGTCCCTGAGATTGGTAAGAACGCCCATTGTTGGTGAGTCGTGTCGTGAATAGTGAATCGGGCCATCAAACAAATATGGTAGTGATATTGAATCCTGAGCCGACGGAGAGGATTCAATCTTGAGAGATGATAGATCCAAACGTTGATAAGCACAATCGGTGGCGATCAAATGCGGGGCACACATACGTTCAACCAGAATGTCCCTTTACTTCGACCGAGCCGCTTGCCAACTATTTCAACCTCTTTCGTACCTGGACTTACAGTTGTCCGGAACACGCCAATGTCGTTATCTACGAGTGCTCCATTTTCCACCTCTCGTACTACCACGGACAAGGTAGCTGTGGAAGGGACCGTCTTTACGATCCAGGTCTCATCCCAAACTGGGGAAAGGGTATTCAGTTTGATAGACGACCTGCAATAAAGTAGGCTAGCGTGAATACGCAGATAGAAAATCACTCACGTGTACGAAACCTTGTCGTCAAGCGTAGCACGAAAACACGGGTTCATCATGCCAATAACATGCACCCTCGCAAGATCCGACGCCCCAATAAACTTCACAGCCCTTCATTTGCACCCAACATGCCTCAACGAAACAAGCACTTACCCTGATAACCAGATCCACGTACTTGGTATCTATATTGAATTCCTTCGTCGCGAGCTCGATGGCGTTGAGGTGGCTGCCGAACTTGACTTTACTGCTCTGCAGAGAGTGGTGAGCGTTTTCCATGGCGGCTCGAAGACAAATAGTGTGAGAGGGCATCGGTCACGGTGGTCCATGGCGATGTTACATGTTGCCAAGCTGCGCACACTAAGATTTCCGGTCGCGGGAAGGTAGGGGCCGATGAGCTCAAACCTTACTTTAGGGTTAGGGTTACATGACCTATCAATGACAGCTGCTCCACCAAAGTGTCCAAGACCAACGAGCACGCCATCTGTTCGCTGCAGAAGAATACCAGTCAAATGGTGCGCAGGACAAGGGAAGTTGGGTGGAGATCTCAGTTAGCGCGCAATTTCCTTAACAATCCGACCCTGAAGAACAGGTTCACAACGATAGATCCGCACGGCATCTGAACACCATGCGTCCATTTCAAACTTTCGTTTCCTAGCACCTGAGAAGCTCCCTTCATGTGTGCCTTACACGCTGCCGGTCAGGACAAACCAAACTGGGCGATAAACACCATCCGCCACGAGCTTGAATGCACAGCATCATATCCGACCGTCCAAGCGACTCAAGTATCATTTCAGTTCTTCACCCTGCGATAGCGGTTATCGCCTTCATCAAACGAGAGCGGAGTAACATCACGAGCGCAGAAAACTCGTCACAACTTTTGATGCCGAAGATGATAAGTTGGGCGTTGAATGTCACAGTATGGTGGTTCTTGTCATACCGATAGCATGGAAAATAGATTCCGCTGTTCATTAAATCAGCGGTGATAAACATCCAGTGGAGAACGGGCCGCCCACTGAGAGGTAAAGATAACAATTAAGTAATCGAGTGATCCACGTGTTGACGCAAGACCCAGCTTGTTGGCGAATGAACCAAGTTGGGTAAGTTTATGGAGACCATTCGACTCGTGGTTGGATAGACGTATTTATATTTGTCGAAATGAATGATCATGATGTTCGAGGGTCTTGGCTAGTGAATAGAGTTTGGTTCCAACATCGTCGTCATGTACTGTACATGACCGGCGCGCTGCAAAACCTAATCGCTACTCGAACGGGAAAGCTACCAGCTGTATCGTGTCCATCAGGACGTATTTGATGCTGCCACCAATTATAGCGGCCGTCAGGCCATATCCGTGAATAGGACACGACGAGGTACATCAACGCGAGAGCGAATTCATGGACCAAAATGTGATCGCGCACAGCTTGAGAAGGATGTGATTGCTGTTGTCCGTTGAGCCATGCGACAATATCATCAAATGGAAGCCCGAGATGACCTCTCGGGCGGTTGTTTGTGACAGTGGCGAGATCCGAAATGGTGCATGCAGCATATCCGACTCGTTGCAAAGACACGTTGGTAGCTGGATGGGACTAGGTTATTTGAGCCCCAGAGTCAGTCCAGTAGTTCATTTCTTCGTGAAGATATCGTCAGATCGCAATGTGCATTTTAGTTGAAGGAAAATTTTTGAAAGTTGGCAGACACAGCCACATTCTCCGATATAGCTCCCGAGGCACGACGCATCTGCATCAACATCGAGGATTAAGAAATGGAAGAATACAAGATTATGAAGAAATTCATACATCAGCACGTAGTATTACACGATCTGAACTTCTAAGGTTGCCAAGCCGATCTTCCGAAAATAAAGTACATTCTTCGTCAATCGATCAATTGTTCTCTATGGTCGAGAAACCAACATCTACGCTAGCTCTCATGCGATCTCCGTAACGAATCGTGAGGAAAATAATCCTATAGACAAGGAAATCAGTGTAGGCCATCGATCGTGCAGTCAAAGGAACCCTTACCCTTGTCCGAGAAGTGCAAGGACAGCTACAATGGTGTTCGTCCACGCAACACCAATGCGTTCGATGGATGGGATAACAAGAGCGGTAGCGACAGGACAGAATGAATGACCTGACACCGCTGGAAAATAATTGAAGATACATTAGTGAATTACGAGTGCGATAGTCACGATATATAATCAAGACTGACGCGTTGGCAGCTGTGATTTCTGCGCTTTGCGAATGCATTACATCCACATTATAAGAACCAATCGGGTTTAATACGAAGACGACCTTTGAGAAATAGTGAGTTGCTTCATACACGGGGATGATAAACTAGTACCAAGGACCTACCCCCATTCCATTGATAAAAAGACACAATAAATTCAACAAAAGACCGACCGGACCGCCAACATACGTAGTGAGCAGCCCTGACACTCCGATGGATAATGGAACCATGAACAGCCCCCCGATCCACGTCGCTCTCAGTCGATCTTCTGGAGACCAGACTCCTTTGCGCTTCTTCTGCCACTTCCTGATTAAAACATCTGATAAGCGACCAGCAAGCGGCGCTCCAACTGTCAAAGATTGAGTCAATAGTCTGTGATCGCAATGATTTGTGCTTACTGAAGTTTCCGAGTCCATTGGGGAGGAAACACGCTCCAATGATGGCTTTGTTCGTGATGCCATACCGTACACCCTACAGGAACCGCAATTAGTTTGCGATATGGAAGATGACTATCAGCTTACGATAGTATATGCCAGCGGTACGAGGAGAACTATGTCATTTTTACGTGAGAACACACTGAGAAGTTGTATAGACTCAACGCACCATAGTCAGTGATGAGTACTAGACTCGTCGCAAGCATCTACATCGCGCATGAAGTCAGAAGTTGTACCCAATGCAACGTACAGAGTGTATGCACTCACAACTCCAAATAGGTTCGGACTCCGAAGTAGCCAGAGAGATTTGAGAGGATTCACCCAGGCGATATGGATCCGTCTTCTTTGCTTTAGTTTATCGATGCCCAATGTGCCGGGATGGCTGGTTTCAGGCAACAAAACGTATATTAGAAGCAGTTCGAGCAAGCCCCATACAGCAAGGGAATAGTGCAAATTTCGCCAAGACCAATATTGCGCCGCCACACCTATTCAAGCACCATTGTTAGATTCAGCATTCCTAAACATTCAAAAAATATTTACCTCCAAGGAACGGAGCAACAGCAAACCCGAAAAGCGTGGTCTGAAACAGCCGTGTCAGTATCACACAATCAATAAATTATGATTCCTCACACCCAAGAATATCCCAATACCAATGCCGCGCTCCTCCAATTTGTATATGTCACCAATTACGCCAGCGCCTAACGACAATCCTCCGGAACATCCGAATGTCTGAATGAACTGCCAGAATAGCAGACTCCGCAACGAATTCGACATCGCGACACCACAGCTACCGATGCATAATAACGGTATCCCGCACAAATACATTGTTCGGCGTCCATCTGCACGATATTGATAACTTGAGGTGAATGCCAGATTACATCATGAAGGGACGCACAGAAAGACGAATACGCAGCCCAAACCAGGGTTCCGATGGCAGTCGCAAAGGTCGACAGACTGACTGTCAAGCTGTAATGAAAAAACCACGATTTGAGCACGTATTGCTATATCATTCACCCACAAATACGCACCTGACAGCAGCATGTGTGGAGTGAAGTTCTTTAGCCACCTGGGGAATGGAAGGTACGAATGACGCTGCAACCAACTCTGATAGATACCGTTTATCAGCATGTAGTGTATTCAAACACAGATTGCTTACTTGGTAATAAACCCGCACAAGAGACAATGAACACAATCCACCTCTTCCGACGTCGAGTGAACCGGTCATAGATCACTTCGTACGCAGTTTTATCGCCATCACTGCTTGATGTCAGTAGGGGGCTTTCTTCTGAAGCCATCCCACGGGATCATGCGCAAACGCCGGGGTGAGAAAGTTCTGTTGTCTTATATACATACCATTGCATGACAGTTGATGCAGAGCATTAATATTGCTTTATTATCATCCCTAAAATCAAATATGGCAATCCCAAGAACACCGTAACGGCATCCCGAAGGATCATTCATCGGTTCTGACGCGCCGGCCTGTATATACCGCGATAAAGCTTTCGGATGCTACTAGAAAAGAAAATATTATATGAGCTATCAAGATAAGTGCCACGGACCGGCAGAACAAATAGTAGAACTGCTTGTAGATGGCAGCAGCTATTCTGGTTCACTGCCTCGAGGTGCTGAGTCACGATTCACCTATTTGTAGCGAAAAGTGGCGTCTTCATAGAGTTACTGTGGCATCTTCGAAGTTTCTAACGCTGTGTGGAAATACTATAACCATTACTAGTTAAGCTGAAAACAAAAAAGGATGACTCCAGTTGGAACTTTGAGCTTCAAACTTCAAGTTGGTCCCTGCAGTCAAGTATTAGCGCACAAGTGCCTCGAACCGGCTTCAAATAGTCGTGGAGTCCAGGAAAGTTCGCTGCCGGACATTTGGAATTTTAAATTCTATATTTGGATAGTTCGGGTCCGGGATCACGTGTGCCTGACGTCAGTACATACATAGTCTTCACTTTGAATGGTGAAGGCACACCCTCCATCATCCTAAATTATACCTCCAGGCTTTACACTAGATCCAAACCAATTGATCTGCGTCCACCAGCACTAAGCATATGATTAAGCTTCCCGGTGGACTGCGCCACCGGAGTTTGGCATACATAGCCTCAGTGCATCAGCTTCGCTCAAGACAGACACTCCCGAGCCGGTAAGATGGATGTGTCTATTGGAAATTTGACGAGTATATTATTCATAAGTCTTAATCCTGATCCGTTGCTTCTCTTTGAAGAAACGAAGATCATTCTATGAGTTCTCCGTGGTCGAGAAACCAACATCTACGCTGGCCCTCATGCGATCGCCATAATGGATCGTCAAGAAAATCAGCCTGAAATCGAAGCAGCACTACATCAGTGCGCTCGATCTTGTAGTCAAGAAGAGCCTCACCCTTGTCCAATGATAGCAAGAACAGCCGCGATGATGTTTGTCCATGCAACACCTATATGCTCGATCGAGGGAATGACAACAGCAGTCGCAGCAGATAGAATAAGTGACCGGATCGCTCTGTAGGTAATATTTAAGTTCAACTTTGATAGCCGCGTCATATCATGGAAACTGACGCGCTAGCGGCCGTGGTTTCCGCGCTTCGAGAGCGCGCCACATCCACATTATAAGAACCGATTGGATTGAATACGAAATCGACCTGTAATAACCAATGAATCACTTCGCGCACATGGTAAGAGCCTAATTAAGAGAACTTACGCCCATTCCATTTGTAAAAAGACATAATAAATTCAAACAAAGACCGACCGAGCCCCCAACATACGTCGTGATCAACCCCGACGACCCAATAGACAACGGAATCATTACCAGCCCTCCGATCCACGTCGCTCTCAAGCGATCTTCAGGAAACCACGCTCCTTTGCGGTGTTTCCGCCATCTTCTGACTATAATGTCCGATAGGCGGCCAGCAACCGGTGCTCCGACTGTTAAAGATAGCATCAGTGAACAGTGATTACCCATGGTATGCACTTACTGAAGTTTCCCAATCCGTTTGGGAGGAAACACGCCCCTATGATGGCCTCGTTCACGATACCATACCGAACGCCCTACACTGTGATCAGGTACGAGATAGAAGATGACTGTCAGCTTACAATAGTATACGCCAGCGGCACGAGAAGAACTATTATTTTATGTGAGAATGCACTCTACAGTAAATATCAACGCACCATAGTCAGTTATAAGCACCAGAGTCGACGCAAGCATCTACATCGCACACAGAACAAAGAGTTTGTAACGGGTATCAACATACACTGAACACACTCACGACTGCAAATAGGTTCGGACTCCGAAGTAGCCAAAGACTACTGAGAGGATTGACCCATGTGATGTGGATCCATCTCCTTCGCTTTAGTTTATCAATGCCTAATGTGCCAGGATGGCTCGTCTCGGGAAACCAAAGATATATGAGAAGCAGTTCGAGCAAGCCCCACACAGCAAGGGAATAGTGCAAATTGCGCCAGGACCAATACTGCGCTGCTGCACCTGTTGGAATGCATTGCTAGATTCAGCATGCATGAACACCCAGAATATGTATACCTCCAAGGAACGGAGCAACAGCGAACCCCCCAAGTGTGGCCTGAGAGAGTCAATTCAATACCAAACCGATAAAAGCGCGCCCAACATCAGAATCACTCACACCAAAGAATACTCCGATAGCAGTCCCCCTCTCCTCCAATTTATAAATATCACCGACAACACCAGCACCCAATGGTATTCCCCCAGAACATCCAAACGTCTGTACGAATCGCCAGAACAACAAACTCTTCAGCGAAGCTGCCATTGCAACGCCACAACTCCCGATACACAAAAATGGCATGCCCCACAAATACATCCATCGGCGTCCATCTGCAGGACTGCAGTCAGGAATCGAAACTATCGCTAGTTCACGATACGCTATGGATACACGCACAGAAAGACGAGTAAGCAGCCCAAACTAACGCTCCGACGGCACTCGCCAAGATCGATAGACTGACAGTCAAACTGGGAAAATCGCTCGATCACAACATACCATATCCGACTGAAACACGCACCTGACAACAGCATGCGTCGAGTCAAGATCTTTAGCTATTTGAGGGATGGAAGGCACAAATGTCGCTGAGACGAACACTGGTCGTGTTCATCAGCGTCACACCACCGTATAAGCAGTACACTGTAACTACTAGCACTCACTAGGTAACAAACCCGCAAAAGAGACGAGAAACACGATCCACCTCTTCTGGTCGGGCGCAAACCTGTCATAGATAGCTTCATGCGTGGTGGACGCTAGCAGAGGGCTGTTTTCTAAAACCATCTTGAATTGCGAGAAAAACCTCGCTTACAGCGCAGGAGAGATTTATATACATGAATTTATATCCATGCCCATCGCCTATCAAGGTGATAGAAAATGAATATATAAAAAGTCATCCTGTGACCTGATAGTCAAGATAGGTGTTAGTACGGACCGGAAGAAGCAGCAAGACGTACTCGTTTAAGCATTAGAATAACTCGCCGAGGTCAGATTTGCTGCCTCGAGGTTGGGAAGAAATAGAGATTTTCTCAGCATGTTGATGCAGAGCTTGTCATGTTGAAATTTTCATCTGACCTGCGCGAGTCAGGAATGATCGTTTTCACAGAAAAAGAAGAAAACAAAACATACAATGTTCGACACCACTATTGAATAAATACCAACTTCGCCCCAGCACTTGCAAGACTCTGCATGCTGTCAAGCTTCTCTGAGAGGCTAAGACACGCTTGAGGGTATTGAGTGGCTGAACTTCAAGTTGTGATTTATGAATAGAATTTCCAAGATTGCGAGAAGTAAGGCAATGGACCTATAAGGTGATTCGACGAAGTAGCTCTGACCAGGACTGACCATGGCACTGGTCCATGGAATGCATCGTGGAGAAAGGAAATATGCAGGCATTGTTTTGTTGAGAGGCAATGGTCTGAAATTGGTGTTCAAGTTTGCGGTGGGTGGAATGATTATCAAGGTCGAAGGGACATTGTCTGGTTGGCGGGCCGGGACGCACAAATAACAACTGATCTCCTGACCGAATCTCTTTGTTCTTGGGCGGTAACGAGCGCAGCTGTGAAAGTAACCAGATTTAAGAAGGAGATCAAGTGTCGTCCCTAAATAGTGCAGATCAGATGCGCGCATGATTCGGCGCATAGCTATCGCTTCAAGTAACTGTCTATCTTTCATTTGCGTGGTTTGTGTCGGATGGGTGGGACGGATGGTCACGCGCACACGTCACAAATCAGCAGGGGTGAGGGTATGAAAGTGGAAGTAGAGGTGGACATGCCTCGAATACCTGATGAAGATCACAGTAAAACCGAGTGAACAGTACTATATGAGAGTTCACTTCAACGTGTTGCCAGTAGAACCTGAGATGATCTGGAGTTCTGCGTGTCGGATGGTCTTTAGAATAAGGCGCCATTTAAACTTGAAAAAGCGAGTTCACAGAAGATGTATTTTGAAGTGACAAGAGGTAGTTTGCGGGGTCTGAAGAAAAGTGGACTTCGGGCAGTTGATGGAAAAACCGTGGTGCGTAGTCTGTGAATTTTCACATAGCGAGTGAGTCCGTTCCAGGCGTTAGAGTGACATAAGTTTTGGGTGGCCCGAAGTACACAGTGCACACATGCCTTTATGGCTTGCGGTGAAGGGTAGTTTGATTGTTCCGTGGCGTCGTGACTGGGTGGAATCACAGCCTACGAGAAATATGGAGATTCGGTATGGATGACTATCCTGATACCCCGGTGAATCTGCATCACTTGCATACTATGTCCATCTGGATGTGCTACATAGTGTCGGTCGACGTACGAATACCGCGTGCCAGGTATGGGTGGCTGTGCTTATTATTTTCACTTGATGTTCATCATGATTGTTCAGAGACTCAATAATATCATGATGAACCGGCGATATCACTACTTAAAGTTCGTACGTTGACATTTCGCATGTTCTGAATTGTTCATCCACTGACCCTGTAGTTCTGCCTATGATACTCTCCCCCTGAAGTCTCCATGAAAGTCGCCAGCTGTAACTATCTTGACGGAACTGCCGGGTGCTCTCCAAAAACCTGTCTTCCTATCGCCAGAGTTGTCATCTGAGATTCCCGCGACGGCAGAAACATATCATATTGGTGACCTAGTCAAGTCATGTTTCCTTCTCGTTACCCCTGCTGCTTTGACAACATCCATGTTTGTTAGTGTGTGCACGACTTTAGATGGAGTTCGTGGCTCGAGCAGTGCATCACACGACACATGCAGCTCAGGCTTTACTTGCAAGACGGGTGTAAGTATGAGTTGTTCGCTTTGCACCTGGAAAACTTCACTTCTCGGACGAGCTTGGCGGACCGAACATGGGGCGACAGTGAGTTGTGTTTCTGCTTCCACGTTGGTATAGTGGTTGATCGCACGATGTGCAGTTCGTTGCGGAGTTGATAGATGGGCTTACGTCTCTACAAAATCCCCTGTTGCCTCGACCAGACTCTTGAATACAAATCAATCACTGTGGCATTGATAAATGTCGCCATTTTTACATGAATACAAGAAAACTGGTGTATGCAGCCGACATCAAAGTGCCTGTACATATGTCCTTGAAGATTGTTTAGAAGGAAGAAGAAGCTAGTTCGAGGACAATCGAGCTTCGTCATTCTGCCAGACACTGCTCCGTAAGTCGCGGGTATTTCTCGACCTCGAAGCTCGTGCCTCGGACCGTGCGATCCACTCTGCCAATGCAAGCCACAGTATCTGCATTTCAGAAATCAACGATAGCGTCGTTCAGATCGAATTATCCTCTAGACCTCCCGGTGGAGGCCATAGTGATCGTGTGTGTAATTCCGTTGAAATTCATTACTCTACTGCTTACATCACCTGCAGATTGCGCGTGAGCTACAAGCTTGAACGGACTCCATATATCTTTATCGATGTTGAGCGGCTTGAACTGGTCTGAGGTCGGTCGGGTGAAAACGCTTTACAGGCACGCTATGCGAACCATTGACTTGTCGCAAATCTTATCACATATTCACAAGTTGCGAGTTGTCAAGAAACATTGAACACGATACACGATGGATTTATTTGGGTGGCATGTGGCAAGTATGCCGGATGGTTGTTCTGTGGTTGGATATTCTGGATTTGTAATGCAAGTGGGGCGACACAATACCGGGTAGGTGATTGAGGCATCCACTAACGCTTGCATCGGTTGTGGAATTTGTGGATGAAGACAATTATGGTGCGTCCACAGTAGTTCCAACCCATGTAGATCGCAATGCGGATTCCCTCTTAACACTTTTCGCAACTCTTCACCCGTTCTTCCTCATCAATTATGGTTTCTTTCAAAAAAGTTGTTCCAAAAGTGAGTCTACTGTTTTCAGGTTATACTCATGATCATGATACTAATCAATACCCCTCAGGTGTAAGGAAGACAAAAAGCCATCGCTTAAGCACTCCCAGTCGATGCCATTCAGATACTCGCAAGCGAGCATGTTCGAGCCTTACGCCGATCCTTTCATAGCTGTATACCATGGCAAGACCCCCTCTAAACCTTCTAACATCGTGCACGTCGAGCAAGCTCCAGGGATGCGGGACATCCATCGTGCGCAGTGGCACCCAGGTGTCCACGACCATCCGCCAAGTCATGCCCACTTCGACACGCGTGCACACTTGCTGGACCAGTTTCCTAGTCCCCCACCGCCCCCTCCGAAACCCACTCGCAGTGCCTCAAGAACGACTTCATTAAACCCACAGAGCATGAGGCCTCAACTGCCCCCGAAGAACTGCAACACAAGCGACCAACCCGTCGCAGGCAGACACAGAACTATTCAGCAGTCTTCTTCAGCCACGTACTATTCGCAGCCCACAGCTGCAGCATACCCCTCCCTGGGTCGCAAAAAGCGGCGCGAGGCCACCGCTGATCAAGCTATGGCGGATCTGCTGCAAACACCTGATGGCCGGCCTCCCATATTTGGGAGCAGTAGGCAGGCAGAACGTGCCCGCGCCAAGTCGAGCACTGGTCACTCATACATCCCCATCCCTCACGATCTGCTGGAAACAGCTGATGGACGACCTCCCGTATTTGGAAGCAGCAGACAGGCAGAACGTGTGCGCACTAAGTCGAGCGCTGTTCTGTACATACACCCCTGTCCCTTATGATCTGCTGGAAACAGCTGACGGCCGGCCTCCCGTATTTGGGAGCAGTAGACAAGCAGAACGTCTGCGCGTCAAGTCCAGCGTTGATCGCTCACAAAAACCCCCCTCCCCTCCCATTCCCCCCATTCCTACCAGTCGCTCCCCGCGTCCATTTATCTCGCGCTCTGTGCACAGCTCACGTACAAACTTGAATCATTATAGAGATCGGCGCTGACTGGTCTCGTTGGGTAGTATATCGATGGATTTGTGTACATGGAACTTAGTATGTGAAGATAGAGTCTTGGAGCTGTTCTACCTAATCATGTATGTCGAGTATGTCATTATGTATATGTATATGATCTATGAAAAGATGGTTGTTTGCCATTTGAGATTATGGTCTGCTTGACGCTATCTCAGAATTTAAGTGTTACAATTTAGGTAGTTTTTTATTGGACTGAATTATATCACCATCCGGCAGATGTTGCAAGCTAGTGAAATTAGCTCCTATAACCAAGTTACTTCAAATTGTGCTTCGCCGTTGTAAATCAACTCTTCAAGTAATACCTACTTCTTGTCACCACTGCCTTGTTCATTACATCATGTGATTTCACTAGCTCTGAAGAACGTTACATGGAATCCTTGTAATTCATACTGTGCATCCTTTGAGATAGCTTGATAATATACAATCAGCATGCACATCCGAGTCACGCCAAATGCATGTTCAGGATTACTCTGAGGATGCGCATCAAAGACGCGCTTGAGGAGTTTCGGACAATAACTTTCAGTCTATATTCAATACCCAAGTCTTCAGCAATGATCATCGCAGCCTTGTCTCCAATGATGAGCGCCGTCGAATAAGTGTTCTGAAAGAAGGTCAAACTATGCATCAATAATTTCTCGTTCACCACTCACCGTACCAACATTCTTCGGCACGATGGATAAGTCTGCAACCTTCAGGTTTGTCACACCATACACATTTAGCCGAGCGTCAACGACTCCTTGATCTGCCCTTGATTTCATGGCACAAGTCCCGAGCTGCACACACAAGGATAAGGCACCTCCTGATGAAAGTTCAAGTTACACATACCGAGTGCCAAGACGTTTGGACTGGGATTCGATCAGGTATGTTACCTTAAGAATGGGAAAATGAATTCAGGACATACTGTTGCCACGGTGAAATTTTTCGATCGCTTCATCATCTTCTGCAGTGTAGATGATGTCGGGCGCATTCAAATCCACTGGGCCGGTCGCTTCTCTGCAGACCGCAGTACTTCTTTCTGGGAAACGAGGGTGGAAGGCGGCGACTTCACCTCGGTAAGGAAGTACATAGTGCACACATGCCCTTATGGCTTGCGGTGAAGGGTAGTTTGATAATTGATTATTCCCTGGCATTGTGACTGGGTGAAATCACAGCCTACGGGAAATATGGAGATTCGATGTGGATAGTCATCCTGATACCCCGGTGAACCTGCATCACTTGCATACTATGTGCATCTGGATGTGCTACGCAGTGTCGGTCGAAGGTACCTTCGGAATACGTGGGGACTACACAACGTTGTATGGGTGGCTGTGCTTATTATTTCCACTCAGACTCAATTATACCATGAACTTGAACCGGCCACTGCACAGTAGACGACACACTGATGGACTGGGCGACACTTTTACTGGTAGCCGAGTTTCTCGCTGCTTATGAAAAAAACGTTTGGTTTGTCCAACCGCAGACATTGCTGCCCAGGACCCCAGGTATTGATTATCATCAGTTTTTGTAGTCATTCTGACTTTTTCAAGTTGTCCCAAGTCGTTGTATCGTCCCGCTGCCGCAATTGCACCTGAATCCTACTCGTCATTTTCTCATCCCCGGTGTTTCCGCAACGCCCATTCGGACAAGTCGTGTAGAATTGTTCAGCTATCCTATGTGCGCCGTTTTCAGCGGTTTGCATCGTTTGCATCTGCCATTACCTTGGGAAATACACTCGATTATCAATTTTGCCTTTGTATGCTAAATGAGTGATACGACTGCGTAATGAAGTCCAGGGGCAGCAAGCATCACCAGACGCTCTGAGACTCGCATCCTTGGCAGGTCACTTTCGCTGAAGACTGACATTCTTCTTTAGTACAGGCTCTCCCGCTAACACTAAATAGCCGGCCGTATTTCTCAGCGCTCATACCAGCGTCTATTATATCGCCTCGACAAGATGAAAATACCTGTGCAGTGTTATTTTGTTTCATCGCACCATCATGCCTGATAGCTTAGAAGAACGATACAACAGACTTAAAGGTAAGTCACTCCATATCACCTTTGCATCTATTTCGTGTTCACATCTATCTATAGTTATCAGCGGAAAGAATCTTAAAATCCTCCCCTGGCGCATTCTCGCTGGCATTTACGTATCCATCGATGTTAACTCCCGAAGCTGGAATTCGGCTATCAGTGTTTTACCATCTGATGAATTTGTAGCGTGGGGAAATACTGCGACTCTGTAAAGTCCACGGAGACTTTCTGACGCGATGCGAGAGCTGATAATTGGATTACAGATCATCACATGCCTCACCTGCGTTATCAGTGGAAACGAGGGCGTCCTATGAGCTTGGTCGAATGCTAGGCAGTGGAGAAGTCATCGGGAAGTTTCGAACACCACTGTGGGATGGGCTACTCGATCATGGTGATGAGCTATTTGGTGAGTAACTTATTTCTCATTCATATACATCTACTGACATCTTGTAGATCTATTCTTCCGACCCATTTGTGGAGTCCCCACTTCCCTTACACTGAAGGCCGCCGTTGTACGTGCTTGCGACGATTGGGACGGTGCATTCTTTGATGTGAGTGATGCTGGCTTTTGTTGTTATCTTTTACTGACGAAACACCAACCGTAGTCCCTCATAGACTGCGAGATTACTCGAGACACGGGTGCGGGCTACGCACTATCTACCGAATATATGACGAGCAAGACGGTCTCTCACCTGCACGATGCTGTGCAACACTCTCAGTTTGTCCTTGACCGGTATCCAGTCGACCATCCAGACCACGCAGAGGCTCTCACCAACTTTGCTTTTACCTGCCTAGAAGGCTATATTCAAGATCATCTTCAAGACATTGACACCACTACCTCCCTCTTCCGCCAAGCCCTTGCATTGCGTTCGCAGGGTCACTCCGATCATGCATTATCCCCCTGTGATCTCATTAGAGGATTTATCTGGCCCTACGGCAAGGAGTCTACCGCCGTCCACATTCACGAATCCGCGCCTCCCTGTCCAGGGGGCTCCTACCTTCGTAGCATGCACGTAGACAGTGCGATCGGTTATGTGATCGGCAATATTCCAATTGACACATCTGATGAAGACATCCACCTTCGATGGAACGTGCTCCAGCTCTGTCCTCTGGAATATCAACTCCGTCCCAGAGCCCTTCACTTGCTTCCATTAGCATTAGAAACCCGCTTCCAACAGTGCGGCAGCATTCATGATATCGATGAGATTATACAACTTCGTCGTGAAACTGCGTCTCTGTTCCCAGAGGGACATTCTGACCATGATGACTACTTACACGATGCGACCTACTCACTCGAGTCTCGCTTCGATCACCAAGGCAAACCCAATGACCTTGATGAGGCCATCTCTTTGTACGAAGAAGCGCTGCGCCTCGGGCTCTCTCATTGGACAACCTAGGGTATGTCCTGGTCACCCATTTCAACAAATGCAGGGACACTGATGACATCACCCGAGCTATCAGCCTTCGCGAGGTACTGACATTGCACCCACCTGGGTGACACCATGCTTAACAACCTTGCCCTCGCGCTCGACACCAGATGTGACAAATTTCATGTCAGCAAGGAACTTAACGAGGCCATTGATCGGTATCGCGAATCCCTTCGGTTAAAGTGGCTGATGATCCAGAGCGCCATAGAACTCTTTACAATCTGAGCTCGGCGCTCTGCTCTCGTTTCACGCACACCCGGATGGATGGAGATGTCGAGGAGGCCATTATTCTCTGCCAAGAATCATTAGAGGCTTTGCCTCACCCTGGACATGTTTGGGGCTACGGACGGCTGCAACGAGCCTATACATCTCGTTACCTGATGCAGCACAGCCTTATATTTTGTCACTCGCTATAGAAAACTTCAGACTGGCATCAGGACACCCTACTCAAGGCTTTCCGAATCGTATTCAAACTGTCCTTGAAGTGGGTTTCTGAGGCCGAGGATCATCAACACGACCCTGCTCCCGCCGTCGTACACAGACTTGCAAGTGGCAGCAGCGTCACGGCATGGTCATCATCCTCGTTGCCAGTAATAGTCTTGCAGCGCTATTATTATCCCAACGTTAGGAGAGTTCCATCGTGTTCTCCTGTCGTCTATCGCTCTCGCAGATCTGGGGATTCTCAAGGATCGCTTCACCAGTTCAATAAGACACGCGTCTCGGACGAACCCCGCTGAATCGAGGACAGGTCTCATAGTACTCTTACAGGCATTATGGGACGAAATCATGCTACCCATCGTCAACGTATTCGAGCACATCCTCAAACTAAAGCACTGCTCTCGAATCTGGCTGTATTCAACTGCGGCTTTCACGTCCATTCCTCTCCACGCAGCTAATCCATTTCAAAAAAGCCAGATTGCTCTGGGAAGGAGTTATGCGTGGAGGATCTCTACATCTATTCATACACGCCGACACTTTCACCTCTAGTAAATAAATGATCAAGAAGCGTATCACTCCATCCTTCATGGCGATTAGACGAGGTTAAGCTTGCCATGGCAAGCAGGACCAATCACAGCCTCACATTTCCCCATTCCGTCATGAGAGATCAACCTCTGACGCTACTTGACATCATGGAGAGAGACATTCCACACACCGAATTCGGGTGTATGTCGGCATGTCATACCGCCGTCTGTGATGAGAAGAGGCCAGACGAAGTCACTCATCTCGCAGTTGGTCTCCGGTTTTCGGGGTTCAGGAACGTTGCTGGCATGCTGTGGGAGGTCGACGATGCTGTCGCCAAACATGACGTCGAAGCTTTCTGCAAATATGTGTTCAATCCGAAGGTTGGTGTCATGGAGTGTACGAAGTATGCACTCGACTGTGCTACACATTTTGTGAAATACAAAAGTGCCACTCGAACAGAAGATGGTTTTCATTCATATCGGTGTGTAGTTATTTTATGTCGTATTCCTTTCATCTCGCAGTGTATCTTTACCATACCTTCATCGTGGTGAAGCTAATTGTAGGATCACCCCTTCGAGTTATGCTCTTCCCGTTTCGCATCCATATTGTGTTATCGCCTTTTTTAGAATATTTCGCTGATTTTTTCAATGCTCGTTACGCAGTGTGCTGTCGAGTGACCTTCTTGACTTGAGCACCCCTTTAGATTGGTTAAGCTAGATTCCTCTAGATGATTACCTGAGACTTTTATCTGTATCCTCACAGCGACAAAATGGTCTGTATCATATCGACAGTGACAATAACTTATTTCCGCTATCCCAACTTTCTAATGAGAAACCGAGGACCATTGAGTTATCAGTGTTGACAGAACATTGCGAAGAAAGGGATGATTCCATGCGGCCACCCGTTGCAGCGAAGGATATGATATACCGAAGAAACGTGTACTTTAGATGCAATGACCAGGGAGGTATAAGTGCGACAGGGACACGAAAGGAAGGTACCCATGGCAAGTTTGAAGCTTTGAAAGGGATAAATAGGTCAGTCATAGTTAGTGTAAATATCAATGTTAGTGATGATATTGTCCAATTCAAACAAGGCTCCTATACTAACCATCAAACTTGGCCCCGCGACGTCTGACTTACGTCATCCAGTAGGCATTAGTGCCGCCCCTTCTAGCGATGGAGTGTAAGAACTGCGAGTTGAGACAACGTCAGTACTATTGCGCAATCTGTCTCAAAAACCAGTAAGCAACTTGAAAACGCTTGTCGCAACTCACCTTAACCTTGCATATAGTCTACGTGATTTCCGCCTTCAAACTCACCATTTTTCCTCCGACAGAGACGAACACGTTGCTCGTGCATTTCGTGCATTCAAGTCTATTGAATCTAGTCACCTCCAAACTCGTGCAGAGATTGCACGAGCGAATCGCAGCCTAGAGCAATTAGTTGATGGCCTTGCCAAAGTAAGAAGAGACTGTGAGAGCAGTACGTGCCTGTAATACCCTTGTTCGCGTGTGATGTTCTAACATAATCTAGAGCGCGACCGTCTCCGTACTCTTCGAGAGGCCCTTGCTCAGCGCAGACGCACACTTAACGCCGCACGCCTCCTTCCGCCTCAATCGCAAACACTTACCAAGGAGTCTCAGGAACTCTCTGTACTGAGTCAAACTATCGCTAGAGCACGATCGGGCCTCGTACAGGAGCTAGTAGAAGTCTTTCACGTCGTCGAAGTCGGCGGTCGACCCGCAGTTGGTGGACGACCAGGCGCAAAAGGAGAATGGACTATTGGTGGACTAGTTCTTCCAGTACCGGGAGATGTTAGACGTACGTTGCAAGTGCTTACTACGTCAAGAATTTGATCACGCAGGTTGTACCACAGGATACCCACCTGATCATATCAACGCCGTCATAACTGACACTATTCACTTTCTGGGACTCCTTACTTTCTACCTAGGTATCAAACTACCTTTCGAAGTTTCGTGGTCTTGCAGAAAACTCGGGGTTGGTATGCCTTGGATTGGAGCAGGACAAGGGGGTGAATCATGGGCAAAGTGTGTCTCCTCTTTTCACCTACCATATTTCTAACTTGAACTGTTTCACGTTCTCTCTCCTCCACACATAGATGGGTGAAAAAACACCCCATGCACCTAACCTCTAAACCATCCTCGACACCATCTTCTCCCACCTCGTCGCCATCCTACACACCCGCATCGTTAGCTGATTCAGAAGCTCTAGAACAGGCACCAGCCCACGCCCAAAACCAATCGTTCACGACCGGCTTTGCTATGCTTCTTTATAACGTGTGTTATCTCGCTCATACCCAAGGTGTCGAGATTCCCTTGTCCCAGGCAGGTGATGCATTGGGTAATTTGTGGGCTGTATGTTGTAGTGGAGAGCTTGGGCGGTAAGTCGCCTTTTACTCACCTTCGAAACCTTCGGCACTCTATCCTTGCTTCATTGTTTATTCATTCTATCATCCAAATTCGGCGTTCTCTGATTGATGTCGTTACAGTCGGTCGCACTCTACCACCCCGCTCCTCTTGCCTCCGACCCCTCCCTCGTTTACGCTTGACTTTACGCAGGTCCTTCAAGCTACTGCTGCCAGTCCTGCCCGAGCAGTACGAATACGGCCGGGGCGTTTGGTGCAAGAAGCTGACATCGGGAGGATGAGGAGCGAACGTATTGTGGAGGAGGATGGCTGGGATGTAGTAGAGCTTGGCGGAGAAGAGGGATTTGGATAAATGGACGAGCTGGGAGATGGTGGATCATTAGCATGTTACATTGTTCTGAGAGCTTTGATATGAACCTGGAATAGTTAGTCTTGTATGAATAAACTTGAGGTCAGTAGCTTGAATTTTCTAAGTACGTCCTCGCAGAGTGTCAATATAGAAATTGCATAACATTAATGGTTCTCAAAGTCGAACCTTGAAAAGAATTCATAGCGAATTCGGATGCTGCCGATACGGCAGGTTTTGAACTCCGACCTGCCCTGCCGGCGTGCTCGACGTCGTTGCTGCTGGTGTCAACGCTGCCAAAGCTCTAATCTGATTCTTAATCGCTGTCAGTAGGAACACCCTGGATCATGTCAAGATCCAATCAAAGAGGTCGGACCAATACATCCACTGGTACGGACACCTCAAAGAAGTGTACTATCCATTGGGAGGGGGTCCGTAGCGCTCGTACTGAACGCCTACTTACCTGGTGCAAGGAAAATGAAGACGCATGCATCAAGCTCTTCTCCAATTCTGCAAAGGATGCCAAGGAGCAAGGTCGGAAGAAGAAGCAGAGTGGTACTTCGAGAGATGTTGTCTATTCACAGGTCGCACAAGCTGTATTTTCGAACGACGAGGATCTGGAGGTTCAACGACTCTTCAAGGAGGATCCCAAGGCATTCATAAAACCAGTTTCAACCCGTTTCGGCACGTAAGTATCTAGTTCCTGCGTCATCCATCTTCCCACTGGAATCACTGATAAGCTGTTTCAGACTGAGAAAAAAATACAACGAATTCAACAAGGAACTCAAGCAGTCGGGAGCAGGAAAGACATATGCAGAGCTACAAGAAGATCCAAAGATGAAGTCTTTGATCGGTAAGTTTCAGCCGCTGTTGATCTGCACCTGTCCTAACCATGTCTCCATCAGATACAAAGCTCGAAAAATTTCCCTGGTGGCCTGAGCTTCATGGCTGGTGGCGGACAAATCCAGCCTTCAATCACGCCTTCTCTACTGTGGACGCAGGGCAAGATTTTGCATCTGCTGCACTGGAACATTTCAATCTTTCCAAGCACCCAAAACCATTGGCTACAGTCGACGATGATGCTCGCACGGATGATGATCCTGAAGATGGAGAAATAGTTGAGGTCGGTACTCGCAGTGTGGATGATGGTGCCATTGTAGATGTGACAGATGATATGCTGGTCGACCAGCCCCCCCGCATAGAATCACAATCCTCCTCGTCACCGCTGATACCTTTGGACTGTGGTCCTAGCAATACACCTGACTCATTCTTGCTGCATCCATTGCCACCCTGGTACCAACGACCTCAGCTCCCTCCCATCTCAACTTCTGATGCACCTGGAGTGGTATCATTGAATTCTCCTGAGCGCTCACCAGTATGCAATCGAAGTGCCCCCGATAATCCACTGTCTGTTTTTTCCGATTTCAAAGATTCTTCACCTAGCTGTCAGTCTACACCTATCGACTCAGAAGACTCGGATATTGGTGCCAGCTGAGCACTGCGGTCTCTCCGTGTCAGCTCACTTAAAGGAAGTCATGAAAGTTCACCTTCTCTTGCCGCAAAACAGTCTCATCCACCTACTCGAAGTGCATCACCTCAGTTTAGTCGTCCCCCCTCTTCATCACGCAAACGCCCTGGCAGCAGTGCCCTTGACCAGACCTCTGCCGCTGCAGAAAAAATGTCCCAAACGGCAGACTCTCTAATGAAGCACCTCGACAGCAAACGTGAGGGTCGTGCCGAGCACGAAAGCTATAAACGTATGAAACTTCAGGGCGACATTTGGGCTTGTGATCTCAAGGCCCGCAGTGCTCGTGATGAGTGGGAGCATGCAATGCGTCTTGCGGAACAAGACCATCTCCACCAGCAGGAGAGGATGACTCAACAAATTGAGTTTGCAAGACTCGAGCTTGAGCTATCTCGTGCACGTCGAGAAGAGGAGGAGGCTCGGATTCGTCGTATTGCCATGGAGCGTGGTTTTGAATCAAACTGAAGTAGGTCTATATTACCACTCATTTTTAGGACTTGGAAATGCATACCATCTTGTACTCGATCTCAAGCGTGACTACACACAGCAAACACTACAGGTTTGGGATAAGCACTTTGAGTTCGCCGAGCTCAAGTGCAAATTTCCCTCATTGGGTACTAAGGAGGACGAGGAGCTTCTACTTGACAAAGGTTATGTATGTACTAAAGAGGACGAAGAGCTTCTACTTGACAGAGCAACCGCGTCTTTAGCGTTGCTCCAACGAGGAAAGCAACCGCGTCTTTAATGCGTTGCGAAAATCCTGCCCTGCAGTTCCAATGTAGGTCTGATCACCTACCGCACCACCCTCTTGCTGATCATCCTCTCCTGCGTCACCATCAGCTCGCCTCAACCTCCGAGTTTGCTGATAGAAACAGACATTCGTGTCCTCATGGTTGGATTTTTCCTTGATTTCGATGATTAGATTGTGCAGAATGAAGCACGAACGGATCCACATGTTTGCGTAGTCGAGGTCCTTCTGACTTTGGATTGGGATGCGAAGCTCCCGCAGTGATTGGAACCGGCCCTTGATAGAGCCAAAAAAATGTTCTGAATGAACACGGACCTAGATGTTGGGTAAGGACTATGAATGTATATTGCCATTCCTACTCACTGTCGATAGGTTATAGTTGAACGTCTTTTGGTCCGGGGTCAAACACCCTCCCGGTGGCCGTTTATACGGTGGCACACACCAGGTTCGTGCAGCATATGCTGAGTCCGCCCACAACCACTCTCCTGCACCGAAAAACGACTTGGGATCCCGGGAAACTCTTGTCCACGCAAATATGTTTGAGTCGTGGAGACTTCCAGGTATGCCGATGACATAGTCCACGATACGAAGGTTGTGAGGGAATATAATGACCTTTTTTGATTGTAAGTCGCTGCGCTGCACATCGAACTGACACTTACCTGCGCTGTTAGAGAATAGTCTGAATTTTTGTCGAAGAAACCCTCCCCGTGCCAACCTGGCTTCTCGTGTAAGGGAGACGGAGTCCCATCGACACAAAGGAAGCCTCCACGCCATTCATGACACGTCCTACTTTCCACATAAGTTTTTGCCCGCTCTCGCTCAATTTGATCCTCGTGATCAAGTGAATCAAAATGAATGGCCCGGTCGTGAAGTTGCAGGATCGCAATCATCACACGTTTATAGCAATTGTAGACGGTCCCCACGGACACGCCAGCCCAGTCGGATATGTCTTCGGTGGTTGCGGCATTGCCATAATGGCCAGCGCCATTGAGAAACATGGCGAGCTGTATTGGGACGGGGAGTTGGGGGTTATTCGAATTATTGTAGAAGATGGCGTGTCCTTGAATCAACTTTGTAAGTTCTTCAAACACATCCGCATCAACACGGAGCTTGCGACGGAATTTTTCAGGTGAGAATAGAGCCCACTCCTTCAGCAGGTGTAGCTGAGGCGCGCGACTCAGAGATGGATGGAAATCAAGGACCCGACATTTCTCCACCTCGTCGTGGAGTGCAGTGATTGCATCGGCAAACTGAGTAAAGACTCGTTCGCACATATCTGGGATGTCACACGATAGGAACTCGGAGTATGCAGTTGAGAGTGACGTCAGAGAGTTGTCTGACAAGGCAGAGGTAATCAACGACGTAGGGGACACTGGGGATACTGGCCATGTTGGTGATGCGGTCCGTATACTAACATCCGAGCCACTACGGCCATTGGCAGTGCCATCAGATTCCTTATCAGAGTCTTCATCGTTGTCTTCATCTAATAGTTGATCTACCATAAACTCAATTAGTTCCATATAACGTGCGATGGTGAGATCATTGCTCGTTTTTTTGAGACTACGAAGCAGCTTCTTTCGATCAGATTCTTGGGGCATACTAGATGGAGTTGCAGAACACTATAGCAGGTGCCAGGAGATGATGGTCACAGTACAACGTTTAGGGTTTATTTGTCAGCGTCGGAGCGTCAATAATACCGGCAACTCGCAAATCTTTGACCTTTCAAAATTCTACGAAGTTAACTTTGAGAACCACTATTCTCCCAGAATACCCTCTGCATCACGCTCATGTAATCAGAAAAGACATCATCTCTGCTGAAGTCGTGGCCGCCTCACTAGCAGCAACACATAACCTTACCCCTAGCTTTCTTCGGCTCAAGAACCACTGTCAGTTCCTCCACGTCGTAGTCAATATCAATCTTGATGGTGTCAACTACAAGGCAGAGTTCTGCGCGAAGAAAACCAGAGAGGGAGATGATTCGATTCCAGAGAACAGAGTGGGTTCTCTACTAGGGTCGAGTCATAATTGCAACACGCCAAGAAAACGATCATCATTCATGATCTGAGCATGCAGGAAATAACGGGCATCCTTTGTACATACGCCATTCAGCATACAAGGAATTCTCCATCGAATCCAACGCATCATAGAAGATGGTTGGGATGTAGTACTTCAATGGTACTTACTGTACATACTACATATAGAGTTTGATAAGATAATTTTCAAACGGCATCTAGTAGTCATGTGACGACTGGCCTGCCGTAAATACCCGTAAATATGATAATTCACTTTCATCTCCCAATCATCTCCATCAACTTGCACAATTCGAACTGATATATTGCATCTATCAGTCTCCCAAGTCAGCTGATTAGAAGGAAAACAGTTCTTTACAATGCACCAGGCACTGCTCATTCCAGAAGTCCTCCTAGAGATATTCTCGCATGTGATTGAGGAGCCATCCGTGTTGCCCGCTGGTTTTATATCGTTGTCTCAGAAATCCCTTGCAGCGCTTGCAACGACATGCAAAACCTTTTACGAGCCCGCGATGGACCTACTGTGGAATGAAATGGACATGTCAGAGTCACTGCTAGGATGTGTAACCAGACTACATCCACTGATGTATCGCAGCGGTCGACTGCCAGTGGTGAGTACAGACTAGCTAGTCATGTTCTATTCATTTCTTCTGTTTATTGGCTGATTGGGTATCCACATAGTGGAACTGGGCGGTAGGCGTCAGACCCTTATCAGTCGATGAAGCCCATCAACTTTTGCGTCACTCCGCCCGCATTCGCTCGCTCATAATGCTGGCCAATCGCCTTTTGCACCTTTTCTCAGACATCCCTGTCATGTTATATGACTTCCCGAGTCTAATATCGTTGACTATTTCCACCAGATATCTGAAATTCCTGCTGTCCAACACACTGCACCATCATCATCTAGCGACTGCCAGTGAAGATCTACCGCCTTTTGTGACCCGTTTTGCTGCGTTAGAGCGCTTAAGCGTTATCACTCCTGATACCATCAATGCATTTGATAGCACAGCAGATGCGCTGTCCCGTATTTCCGATGTTGTCCGTTTGTGCAAGCAGCTTGTAACTCTGTCCTGTCCACTATTCGACTGGGCAGCATGGAGGCACATCTCCAACCTATCTACCCTTACCAGAGTGGATGTTGGTGACACGCGCACTGACGCCACCCCTCCTTCACCGTTGGAACGGGATATCACCAATTTTTCCCCATTCAGTAACGTCACTGCTCTTTCCTTCCTACTGCACGGTGCTGCATACGCTATCACAGTCATGCAACATTCACAATTCCCTTCGCTGAAAGAATTCAAGCTAGATGTCAGCGTTCTATCTTCACTAGAGGCTGAGCAGCTTTTCCGTGCATTGTCCAAATGCAAAGCATGCGAGACCCTAGAAAAAATCATCGTACATTCCTCGCATTACGATCCCCAAACCAACTCGTTGTCAGTGATTCCATATTTGCTTTGCTTCACACAGCTCCGGACCCTGAATCTTGCATGCTATGATTTCTGTATCAACCTGGACGATGACATTCTCTTGGAAGCCGTGTCAGCTTGGCCGCACATGCGCAATCTCGAAATAGAAGACTTGCGCTTTGATTATTCCCCCATTACATTCCGCGGAATTTTTACAATGCTCAGTCTATGTCCACAATTGGACACACTGCGTATTTCAATCGATACCACGGCTGTCGATATCGATCCTGATGTTGAGCCAGCACAACATACCTCCCTACGGATATTAGAGTTAAAAACATTCGCGCATCAAATACCAAACGCTGAAACTCTCGCTCGCATCATTTTTTCCTATCTTCCTCGTATTAACGAAGTTGGCGGATTCCTACAAAGTGGATGGGATGAAGTCAACATGCATCTCAAATCTTTGAAAGATGCTGCGCTACATGCAACAGGAGCCGCCTCGAATACTTGAGTTTGGGATGTATCGTTTATGTCGAGTTGCTACATTCATTCATGCTCGTTTCTTCGTATCTGTCGTCATTACATCTGCTGTCGATTCTGCACTATGATGGCCACTGTTTTGTCTCATCCTACACTACCATGACTGTACTAAGTTCTACCGAGCCCGGACCTCCAATCCATCACAACTCTTCAACAAGTCGATCCGTTGTGAGTCTGTGACAATTTCTCGAACAACGTTTTGATCAGAATTTGACATATGTGCAAGAGGCTCAGCTTGCAATCGCACGTGTTTACCGCTGCGGGAATATGTTCTCGCGAAGAAATGATACAGGGAAACTTGTTCGGGTCAGCACGAAAGCATTTTCAAATCAGGCCTGTACGTAACTGACTTGAAACTGTTTGCTTAACCGATCCTTGATTGTGAACATTGACGCGTCGACGGGCCATGCATGCATGAGCTCCAAACCCTTCAAAGCTTCATGATATGTAGACTTTCGTTGTGCCAAGCCGGCTTTTGGGATTGGGTTCTTGGGTGAAAAGTGAGTCGGTGACTACTCTTTACCGCTTCCGAATGTCATGAAAATGTGCCTGTGGCAAATCGCAATGCCGAACCCGGAGTGCTACACTGAGAGCACAATGCTCTTGGAGTCTTGGCTGTGTTATCGAGAACGTTTGGCAGGTTGAGTCAGGGCTCATGACTCATGGTGAGTCTCCATTGCTTGCGTCCGAAGAAGCTATATCATAACCATTCATTCTGAAGCCTAGTCTAGCCTAGTACGAAGATTGGAATGGAAGAGTAAACCGATCTCGCGTCCGAGAGTCCTCCTGGTTGACGAATATAACAGACGAATCACAAACTTGGTTTGGCCTTTCTCCTAGTCCTATCATACACACAACACAACACTGCTCTTTTGACCATGCCGACTACTACCTTTACTGAAGGAAACTATATGATTGAGAGCGTTGACTCCAAGGGGGAATTTTTGACGGTGGAAAACGGGAATATCTGTCTCCACGCGAAAGACCCTCAGAGTGTCCAAGTCGTGCGTCAGGCTCCCGATCTCCTGTGTCACTGCAGCTAATCACAGATACGTAGTGGAAACTCATGAGTGGCGGGGATAATTGGGTGAAATTTCAAGGCGTACCGCCTGATGCTGTTCAGGAAGGAAAAGTTGTTGGTGCTAATATGTCAGTGAGTTTACCGTTTTTTTTTCTCTAATACGAGATTCCTTCTGACTCATCCAGACGTACACACTGGTCTACGGTGATGGCGTGATAGAGGATTTCCAGCTGGAGGACGATGCCAAGGATACTTTTCGGTACGTGCTTCTAGTAACTGATGTAGGTTCAGCATTGAGTACTCCCTCAGGGTGACATTCGAGTACTATGAGCTGGGCCTGTACTGGCGAATCGATGATGGGAAATCCGTAGGTCTTGGAATTAATCAAGTTGCGCCGCTGTTTACAATATGTGTACAGGTCTCGTTCACCGATAACCTGACTTATGCAGCGAAATGGAAGTTGACAAAGTGTTCGAAATGATGCGCTGAACGACGAGATTTCCCTATTTTAACCATAAATTGTATCAATACTACATGTAATCTACATCTTGACTGGGATTCTGAATAAGACGGGTATGCAGATTGCCAGGGGACCGAAGTACCCCCGGAGGGATGAGAGATATTTTCCGTCATATGTTATTGCGCTAGATTTTGGTCACGAATTATAATGCATAACGAGTGCTTCCGAAGTGTATCCAACTACACTCACCAGAGCGGTGAAATGTTTGATATTGGCCAGGGCTTGGGTGGTGAGTTCATTCGCGCTCTGTTCCTGTTTCATAGTTTATTCGTTCTGTAAGCAAAATTGTGCTCTGATTAACTTTATGATCTCCCGCTGCAGTCGATCAGTCTATCAGTCTGGGAATATTCGTGATTCTTGAGACATATTTCTACACAACTCCACGCAGTTCTTCCCTTAAGCAACCCCTAAGAGATATACTTCTTGATATCCAAGTTCAACGTTCAATTGCTAGATCTGACTGAGTCATGATTATTGGACACTGGAACGGTACTGGCCAAGTGCTGGTACGAGTTTATAGACATGATCTGCCAGATGATGGCAAGAACGTGTTTTATCACAGTATTGTATATTGCCTCACGGATGAGGATAGTTGCGATCAGAAGTCCATCTTCAGCTCGATCTGTCGAAAGCTCTCAGGTTCTGTCCGTGTTGTATAGCAAGGTACATACCAGAGCGACAGCCTCTTCGACTTTCAGAGCAAGCAAGTTACTGAACTCCGTCATGCCTTCTTTTACCCGGCCAGGGCAAACAACACAGTTCGTACTACTTCTGACCTTTTGGATTGTCCTGTCCGCTGCCGTCCTCACAGTATTTCCAGACGGGCTATCCTGTAACAGCTCGCATACCTCCTGCATATATGTTGTCCACCATATAACTGGAGTGGAACCCCATGGAAAGAAACTTTTGTCGGTACCCTGTCCACAGCGGCAGTAATTCCCGTTGTAGGAGGAATTACTGAACACCCAACTGCAGCCATTCGTATTGCGATAATGATCCGTCATCCATTGGAGATTCTTCATTAGGTTTTGTACGGAGATGATGCATTTTTTGTGGTATGTTAGTAGGGCAAGAAGGTCGGATGCGGTGATCAGGTTGATCTCTGCAAATAACGCAGGAATTAAGGGTTGTCGCAAGTTGTATCTGGCAGCGGTGATGGTTTCATGCTTGAGCCGCGCATTCCTTGCAATGGCGAAGGAGCGAAGGGGGTCTGTCTCAAGAACCTTGGGATTCGCCAGAGCTTGACATACTTTCCTCTCGATCAGGTCTAGTGAATACTTCTTCGCAGCTGCGAGTACAGAAAGAACCTCTGTGAGGTTGTCAAGAGAGGGATCTTCCGCCAGCGTCGATGGATAGCAAAACCTGAGAAACGTATCTAGAGTTTTGCTGTCCTCAGGCACGGCAATTACTGCTAAGCCATCCTTCATCTCTTGATCGGAAGCCCCGTCAGGAGCCTGAGGGAGGTCAAACAATGTTTCGAAGAACGGAGAGGCAAGGGAGAGGAAGAGCCTGAAAACTCGAAACTCCACGCCATCAGCTGATCGTAAGATAACGTCTGCTTTAGCGTGATCGAACGGGACTGATGCGCAAATTTGCGTTGGCAATGTTGGCAATTCCATTGGCGATTATGATCTTTGTGGTGTCATGAATATAGCCAATCGTAGCTAGTAAGCTGAACTCACCAGTTGAAACTTGAAATTTGTGGGGTGCGTTTGTGGGATGATCAAGAGGCTCTGAGAAAGTGAAGAGAGTCGAACTGGCCACGCGCTTGCAGGCCTGTTAGTATGGTGGATGATTGGTGACGGTTCATTTTCTAGGTATTTTCCAAAGTCCGCTGTATGTATTATCGAAGCCCATAGTAATGTCACAGGTCAGACTACTCTAAGAGGACAGATTGAAAGCGGTCATGTAACCAACCCAGGCTTTTTTGTCAAACCAAGGCACATTATAATCCGAATCGCGATGTATTCGTGCCAAGACAGCAACAGTTAGCACTGGTGCGATATGAGATTATGTCTATCCAATGCTGGAAGAATACGATGGGGCCGAAAGTCACTGGCATCAGAGTTGCCGAGATCATACTTGGCGGAGGTATAAATGTCGACAGATTTTTCAAACGTGCCGATCTAACGTTTTTGTCACCTGAGAATTGAGGAGTTGTTGGAGTCCTTGCAAATGGTTAAGTAACGAACATCGAACAAGTCATTGACTTACAACCGCATTGAATTGAGGTGTTGCACGTGCAACCTTCAAGCGTTGAAAGGTGGAAACTCAAATCACAAGCAGCACTACTACCGTTGCCCAGACGTATCAGGTTGTTTTTGGAATTTTCAACTTTAGTGTGAGATACTTTTACGCTGTTTTACCGTCATGTGACGTCCGGATTCGGCCAGATTTCTGGAACCCTTCTGCTTTTGGGGGGCGGGCAAGTCTTTGTGTGCCGCTTTGCATTCTTTCTCATTGCCGGCCAATGCAATCTACGTTTCGAGTTCCTTTCGATGAACAATTTGCCAAACAAATCAAATTATCTTGTCGAGTCCCGCCAGCTGCATGTGAATCCATGACAAACAAACAAATCTATGAGGAGGACAGTGCTAGTGCTAAGAGACAGAACTTTGAAGCTAGTTTGTGTGCATGTGTGTGTGTGGGGGTGGTGAAATGTCTGTGAGTCTTAAATGGTTGTGCTACGGATCAGTGTGTGTGTGTGTGTGTGTGTGTGTGTGGATGGATGGATGAGGCTTCCTCTATCAACTCAGGAAGACTGAATGCAGGTTGTGATTGTTAGTGCTGCCGTGGTCTGGTTCGGTCTGGTTCACAGAGGGTCGAGCAAGAACCAAGAACTGGACCTAGGTTTGGTTCTACCAGACTTGATGAACCTCGAACTGGACCTTGGTGAATGGTTCAGAATGGTCAGGTCCAGTCATTTTCAGGTTCGAACATGAACTGAACCAAATTTATTTACAATGAGCAAAAAAAAACATAGGTAGGACTTGTTGTGGTGCCACGGTCAATGGTCTCAATATCAAGAAGTAGGAGGGCATGAAAGATGGGGCGTGGCATGAGAGAACAGGTGGGAGAGAGTTAGCACAAGAGAACGGGCACAAGAGGACAGGTATGAGAGAGCAAGCATGAGAAAATGGGCACAAGATAATTGAAGATGAAGTCACTCACCTAACACCTCAAACTCAGTGGTTTTGGTTGCCTTTGTCTTTGTTGGCGCATTGATTTTAGGGGTGGAGGCAGTGATTTCGTGGGAGTGGGATGATGGGCTTGCAGGAGGAGTTGCACAATGAGATGTGTGGTCTGATTCGTCTGTTTGAACAGTGCATATCATGACTTACCTTGTCAATGGGCCTCTGCATTTGATAGAAACAAGTAAATCTTGAAGCTTGAGAATCCCTGAGGCTGAAGTGGATCATCAAAGGAAGTGTCAAAGCATGCTTCAACAATGTGGCAAGCTTCTTTTGGTTCGCAGTTCGGAACAGTTCGGGACCGGTCCGAACCAAAGTTGAACTGTTCGCACAATGCCAGAACCAAGAACCATATTATGGTCCAGTTCTGGCTGACTGTCACAACCCAATAACGAATTAACGCTGGGCAGAGACTAGGACTCAAACAAAGAATAATCACGCAGAGGAAGTAGGCAGCAGGTACGTCTTGGTATTGCTCACTTGGAGATACAAGAGGTTTGAACTAAAGAACTACTGACTACGACGAGCTACCTATATACACATATTGAAACTGAGACTGAAACTGAATATGAACTAACTAACCAATCAGAATATTTAAAGGTATCGTACGATTCTATATATAACTATGATGTCATAACATGTGCCGCAGCCGCAGTAAGACTCTGGAACATTCCAAGAGTGTCGCGAGGCATGACATCAATATCTTCGGCTTTGTCTGATAGATCACGTGACTCTGGTAATTCTACAATAGACGCAATAATAGGAACTTCTTCAACAGTAAACACATTCTTAGGAACAGGCGCTGTGACTGGGCACTTAAAGGACTTAGAATTTAGGAATGAATAATGGTTCGTATTTGGAACTCATGACACTGACACCTGGACCGTGGACCAAACCACAGGAGAACCAGACCAAAAAGTCCGGTTCGAACCATGGTTCAGGACTGGACCACAGCAGCACTAGTTATTGTCAGTGTGAGGCAGATGCTACAGGAAAGATGCATACTAGTAGTGTGGACAGAGGATAACTTGACAAGCACCACAAATTTGGTGAGAAGTGAATACAGCACTATAGAGCCTGTACACATGTAGGCAGACACTCATATGTTGATCATTAACTAAAATCCAAAGTTGTTTAGAATTTGTTACAGTGTCACAGGCCTGTCACAACCATACACACATCAATTTCACCTGGCCCAAGAGCTGACACACTTAAACACCTATCTCTACTTGTAGGTTTCTTAGATGGGGTCACACGGCTGAGATGAGAGCTAGAACAAATATGTAATCTCAGTATCTGGGAGGAAGACTCCAGGTGCTATAAGTACCTAGAACAAATATGTACTAAGTCTTTGTTAGTAGCTGGTATGTTATATGAAGGTAATAGCACTTACATCTCAGTATCCGGGAGGAAGACTGAGATGCCTAATTCTATGAGAGACTGTTTTTATGTGCGGGTAGAGCAGGAATGAATGCAAATTAATCTGAGACCTTTTGACATGATGTTCGGCCAATGATGAGCAAATGTCTGAGAAACGATGTGCTTGCACCTAATCTGACGTGTCTGACGTGCCTCTCAACACTACTCTCGTGCTGTCTGTCTCACTTTATGATCATCCTTTGGAGCTGAAAAACATGCTGTCGAAGGCCTGTTTGCAGTACAGTACAGCAGGAAAGACTTACAACAGTCTTTATCTTGGTTTCACCCGCTAGGATTTGTTGAATGGCTTGTTGTTGTCCAAATCGTCCAAGTTGAAGAAGACCGAGAGAGCTGATGGCGAGGCATGAGATGTCAAATAGAGAGTGCAAGCACAAGGGGAGAAAAGGCAGGCACAAGGGAGAGCTGACATCAGGCCTGAAGCTGCACATGTATCAAGTTTCATTCTAATATGTATAAAGTCTAGCACCCGTGCAGACGAGCATCTCAGTTCTGTTTCCAGAGACTGAGACGTGAGTACCTATACCATACCTTATCATAAACATATGCTGACACAACGTATACCATTGCCCAGACGTATCAGGTTGTTTTTGGAATTTTCAATTTCAGCCATTACTCAGCACAACCAAACATTAGTTCATTATTCTATTATTGTCATCTCCGTCGTTCCAAGGATGCAGGCCGATGATCGCGAAGACGAGAACGAGGACGGATATTATACACACTATTCAACAAATCCTAGCGGGAGAAACCAACATAAAGACTGTTGTAAGTCTTTCCTGCCGCACTTCACTGCAACAAGCCTTTGACAGTGCGTTTTTCAGCTCCCAAGGGTGATCATAAACTTTTCTACCCACCGCTCCACCTGGCTGTATCAGTACCACCTGTGCACTCTGCAAACCTTTTCGTACCCTCTTTCCTCTCCATTCTACTCTACCCTGTCAAGCAACACCTTATGCATCCGTTTTCACATAATCATCTGGCTCATGGCCCCTTCCGCATACCCCACAACACCTCTCAACACTCAGACACCTTCTGATATCCTGCTGCCTATTCCCATTCCATGCGCAGAGGAGTCCGAGGAGACATTGCATGCAAGACTCGTCCATCAGAGCAGGAAGTGTGGAACTTTGGAGAGTGACCTTTTGCTGAGTACGTTCGGAAGGTACCCTTACAGTTTCTGACTACAAATACCTCATGTACACTCATACTTATGAATAGCAGAATCATATACGCTGATTCCCCCCCACTCAAAGCTTGTCCTAACCGCTACAAGAAAGAACTGACACGCTCAAATGCTTATCTCTACTTTTGCACCATCTGTCTCACTTTTCTATCAACATCGATTTGTTCCTTGCCTCCCACTGAAACCTCCGCCTCTGTCACATTTACAATAACGTTGATTTGTTCCTTTACTCTCTTCATTTCACTATCTACCTTACATACATACCAACCTGTTTTCGTTCTCTCTTCCCCCTCGAACACATACTCAGCCTTACAATCACACAAATCACTATCATCATGGGAACTTTATAAGAATGTGCTCGTCAATGCGAAGCTACTAGGACTGATAAGTACTGTGGTATGACTCAGATATGGAACAAAGAAGGTTTGAGTGTTTAAGATCAGAAATTAGCAAAGGTAAGTGAGATAGAGTAGTACGAGAACTTCGAAGGCTTGAATGGCTAATGTTTGAATCCTGGGACGTGTCGTTCAAGTTCTAGGGCCTTGCAAAATTGATTACAATCGTGAAGGGCTTGAAACAACTGGATTTGGTCTGGGCCTTTATCCCAATAACCCGAGTCTTGACTCTCACTAGCAGTAGTAGTCAGATACGGACATGCTAAAGATGGTAGTGGCTGCAAAATGAACATACGTATGAGCTTGAGGATCGAACAATGTGACACTATGGTCTGGAGCTATGATACCTGTGAAGTCCAAAGTCAATTAGTACTTGGCTGCTCAAAATCAAAAATTCAACTTGACGCACCTTGAATGTCAGATATCAAGGTCTCGAAATCAGAGTCTACAAGAACATGGTGTGAGTAGGCATCCACCACACGTCCAATCATGTCCTCATTGTTTCCTGGTTGCTCATTACCAGAAAACTTCACCTCCCGATACAAAGCACCTGAAGGAAGGAGTGGTGTTGCAAGGAAGACGTCATATAAGAGACTTCGATTGTCATCTGTTCCATCAGTTGGTGCAGGTGGCAACAAATCTGTGAGCTTTCCTATAAATGCTCCCGCGACGTTCCATTTCATTGCTTTATCACAAGGAGTAAGTAATAAACAATGTAAATAGAAAAAACACACTTACAAGGTAGGCCTTTGACACCGTGAGCAAGTGCACGTTTATAGAACGAGTCCATGAAGTACTGGGCTTTGTGTAGAAGGCATAGTTCATCTGATAGATCTTTCATGTTGGTGTTACTCGATGAACTGATGGGCTTGCACTGTAGGATTGCATAATCGAGTCCTTTGTACCGTCCCTTAAATGAATTAATGATGCAGTGCAGCCACAGTGGCACAAGTTGAACTTACTCGAATGGCAAGCTTCGTCAGTCCTTGCCCAAGGTATCCACCACCCAGTTGTTTTGCACGATGTTGTGTCTGCCAGTTTCGTGCGATAGATATCTCCTCTAGATCTTCACAGTGTGTAGGTTCGATTGTCCCATCTGTGGCAATTGTACAGGTGGTTTGCCGAAATTTGAATGTTTCGAAGCTGAATTGTGCAGAACCTTGAGCTGATGGCCAGCGTTGATATTCACTTTGATAGAGAGCACGTTTCGCAGATGGGCCTGGGGTTGCAGATGCCGAGTCTTTGCCTCAAAAAAAAATCAGTTTCAGACACCAAATTCGGCCAGTTTAAAAGACTTACTGTCAGATCGTTTTCTCTTCCGACTTGGAGCACTTTTCCGCACTCTTGACTTGCCCTTTGAGTTGTGCCGAGTCTCCACAATATCAGGTGAATTGTCAGCCTCTTCGTTATCCTGCAATAACAATCAGTAATGGTGTAGCTCGAGAATGGCAAAGGTAATGAAACAGTTACTTACCCATTCGATTTCATAGACATAGATGTGTAGGGTTATTCTTGGCACCTTTGCAGAGCCATCTTTGTCAGATAGTACACGCTTATGCTTGAGTCTCACGAAAAGATCCTCGATTGAACCATCCATGACCTGGTCCTCAATAACAGCAGTGCCCCCAGGCCCAGATCCTTTGGCAGTACAGAATGTGGCAGCCTCGCTATCAAGAAAATGCAAATGCCATGGTCAGCAGTGGGGCCCAACATAGATAACATAAAGATGTACAATTTGAACATTGAATCGAGAATTTCTGAGGGGATTGCATCTGTGCTCTGCACTGGTATGGTGCAATACATACCCTTCGACTTCAATAGCAACTGCTGAAGAGCACCTCGTGCTGATTCATTGGCCGGAAAGGTACAGTGTGAAGGAGGAATCTTTGCCTAGTGTAATATATATGAGTTGTCGACTGGTAGTACTGAGTGAAATGATACTGCTTACTCTCTTTGCAGTAACTTGTTTATTCTGAGCTGGATAAACCCACAACGAAAAATCTATATCAACCTGTGAATTTTTTGCTCTTGCTTTCAGAGCAGAAACCTTTCGATTGACTTCTGAAGCACTCAATAGTAATGAATTCTGAGGACGAGGCTGGTTTAGACGGTGCTGTGATGCAATGCTAGTAAAGCCAGATCTGCGATCCAAGATTGTGGCTGCAGTTGAACGAGTTGCATTTCCCGCGCTTGAACCATGGCTGAGAATTTTTGCAGATTCGGATGCTAGAACATGATGCAACATAAGTACAAATCCATGCAGTACTACCTCGCATGGGGACATACATGGGTTTGATAGCACAGCTTCACCATCATGGTAGCCAGGCTGGACAACTTTGCAGGGCTCACACAAAGTGGATCGAAGGAAGTCGTAGCATACCCCACAGTGTTTGCATTGTGGTTTATCCTGTATACGGTCTGAGTTAGTATAGATTCTCATCACATAGTAGATTTGCAATGCACATAGACAGCAGTACGTTCAGCTTCTGTGGCTTCCCAGAGCTTCGAACATTTTCCACATTCTTGGCCATCCATGGTGGGAAAGTTCCTCGAGCAACCTGAACATTGTGCCATGAACAAGGCTAAGAAGAAATGACAGTTGAAAATAGGATGCAGAGCACAAGCTTAAATATTGTACGCCACAGCCTTCAAGTGCTAAGTTTATTCGGCACCACTTTGTTTAGTTTACATTAAGTCTTTAATCTGTATTATATATTGTGTAGGTTTTTTGATACTGGATCACCGTCTAGCTTTCAAAACTGTCTATTTGCTACGAAATACAAGTTCTCTATAACCTAAATGAGAGGTAACATAGCAGAAAAGATGTTCCACACATTGTGAAAGGATAACTCCTTGAAACCAAGGTTCGTAAAAATGGTCTGTGCATGATTCTCATACTCGACAGAAACAAAATGAATAAGATCCTCACCACCTATACTCTCCATCAGCTGCCTTACCACCTCACGGTCAACTGCTTGTAGGCAGTTCTCAGCTTGATACTCGTCGTGAAGGGCAAATGCAACATTGGGAGAAACACCTGATGGAAGTTTCTTGGAAGAATCCTTGCGAACACGGTGGTTGTTGAACTGCTCCTGAAGCTGATTCAGCTCTTGCTGAATTAGTTTCGGCCACAGCCATTTGACCAGATCACTACAAGTGAGACATTGGTAATTTTGTATGAGAGCTCTAGCTCAAAATTCACTTACTACTGTCTCAGGTCCATTTCATCATAGATGCCACTGCCTGCTTCCCAGAATACCTTGACACTGTCTCCCCACTGAAGACGGAGACGAAGCCAGCCACGCTCGATAGTCGTATTGTGGACACTCTTCAAAAATTTATGTGCAGGCAGCTCGTTCAATGACAGATGGGGGGAGAAGTGTTCTCTAGTATGATGTAATAAGCATCAACATTAGAAAGATAAACATGAAATCAACTACCGAAGTGCATTGGCAAATCCATAAATTTCCGTAGTCTCGCTACCACAATCAGTTGTTGTCTGAATTGGCATGCCTTCGAATGTGAGAGTGAGCTCATATTATATATATCTAAGAATGACAATATAACAAACCACCAAGCTGATAACAAAGAGAAAGATATAAATAAGCAATTGCATCTTTAAGACGGTTGTTTGGCAAGACCCAGATACCGAGCCATTTGCCTGACCAAACATCACGAATTCCCCAAATTGGAAAGCCAATTTGAGTGAGCTTATCATGGCCATCACCACTCCACTCATGGTGCGGGCCAAGGACAACCAGGGGCCTCCGAGACAACTTCTTGCTGGTAGGTTGGCGAACGACGAAACCTTCAGGTTCTTGCAACATCATCTGGTCTCTGATGTATTTGCTGTGCAAAGGTCCCTTGCGGCTCAGTAAGGACAACAAAAACATGTAGAATGTACAAACCGCGGGAGCATAACTCCAGTTTTGTTTGCAATGAGTTCCTTCACAACCCGTGGTCCACGACGACCAGTAGGATCATCTGCAAGTTGGTCTAGCACGAGTTGGCGTTTGGTGACCTCAGGGAGTTGAGCCGCTGTTAAGCGGCTACCAAACAGTCCCAGTTCTCTTCTACGATGAGTGACTGTTGCTTCACTGAAGATTCATTTATAAACAAGCTAAAGTTATACATTGAAAGTGCCAACACGAAGCTCACCTCATTTTAATGCCATGTTCAGCTTGTAATAGCTTGCTTATGAGTTTACGATCCGAAATATTCTGCCGGTGATATTCACGAAGAAGGTTGGCAACTTTATGATCACCTTTGGGAGCTGAAAAACGTGCTGTCGAAGGCTTGTCGCAGTGCAGTGCGGCAGGAAAGACTTACGACAGTCTTTATGTTGATTTCTCCCGCTAGGATTTGTTGAATGGTGTGTATAATATCCGTCCTCGTTCTCGTCTTCACAATCATTGGCCTGCATCCTTGGAACGACGGAGATGACAATAATAGAATAATGAACTAATGTTTGGTTGTGCTGAGTAATGGCTGAAATTGAAAATTCCAAAAACAACCTGATACGTCTGGGCAACGGTAAACGTAGTCTTACCTATCAGGTACACGTTTCATTAATAAAGAGTTCTGTTTCCAGAGACTGAGACTCTTACCTATCAGACTCCTTGTGACCCTCTCGCTTGTTATAAATGCCTTTATGGCATGTATAATATCTGTCCTCGAAGTTCTTGTCTTCACTATTATTGACCTGCATCCTTGGAACGACAGATGACTTAATAGTAGATCTAAACTAATGTTTGGTTAGAAAGAATGCAAAGTGGCATGCAAAGACTTGCCCGCCCAAAAGCAGAAGGGTTCCAGAAATCCGGCCGAATCCGGACGTCACGTGACGGTAAAACGGCGTAAAAGTATCTCACACTAAAATTGAAAATTCCAAAAACAACCTGATACGTCTGGGCAACGGTACACTACGGATGAACAATACACGGGTGATGGCGACACCAGTGTGGCATGGGCTGCTGTGACTCTATGGTAGGGCATGGCAGGGCACAATGGTTGATCGAGGAAGACAATAAAGAAAAGAATCACAAGCCTCAAGATGCCTTAATTCACAGCGAGGGTTCGAACTCGCAAGATTGTTGATGCCTATGGCCAGGCGCAGAGCTGTCTTTGAGAAACTCGGCAGGATACATGTGGTCACCGAGACCGAGACAGTAGTAAGTGCGCAGTGACTGATGCCAGTGGAGACCTGGAAGGACGCTGAAGATCATTATGTGCTCCTGATACAAGAAGCATCGATGCAACAATCGGCGTGACCTCCAGCAGTAGTGTGCAGCTGGATGCGATTGACGTTAACGCTCATTTGGGTATTGTGCGGTAGCGAAGAGATTTCTTTTAGTGTTCCAAGTCTCGTCGTGGTACTCAAGCACTCATGCAGTGAATGTGCAAAACTCGACGAGTCCATGGGGCAGCAGTGGTGGCGGCGTTGCCAGCTGGCGACTTCAAACTCCGCCACCCGCGCTGAGCATGCACATTGCAGACTCTCCCCCAGACCGGTCATTTCAGGCTCGTTCAGCTGGTTGCGAGACCGACCTGCTACATAGATCCATGATGTCAGCTTAGTTTGTCGGGTGGAAGCCCCGAAGGGGCAACCCGGCCCCTATGGCGGCCCCAACCTGTGCGAGAGAGAGCCGAGGTGAGCTGCGAGGGCAGGTGGGCATCCTCGCAGCCTCAGACTCAGCAGGTCTAGGTACCAGCCACCCGGGCCCCAGGAAGAGGGATGTAGTACTAGTATGTAGTTAAAGTTGACTACGTTCAGGTACCAGTGGCAATGTAGGCTGCGAGGATAAGGGAGTAGTGGGTGAAGCAGCAGGCCGGTTTGAGCGTGGCGTGAGCACTGCGTGGTGCGGAGACAAGAGAGGCCGCGTGCTGCACTGCCGCTGTCGCAAAGTCCTAATTTTAACCCTACGCTCGTTCCTCGCTTCGGGGTAGAATAATATCAATATGTCACCTCACCTCTCGGATTCACTCGTGAGTGATTAATCTGGAAAATCATATAATTTCAGCTCATCATTTTTCGCAAGCCGTTACATACATCTGTCAGCACGAAAGTTGCAGGTGTAATTGAGCATCCAACAGTTATCAACTTGTTTTCTAGTCAACTTCACTCAAGGTGGCTCTGAGCCGTTATGAAGGACCAGCCCATTGGCAATCGTGACGAGTATATTGTTCCACATAGATTGATTATAATACATAATGCCTCCCTTAAGATAAACGAAGATGAATCCGTCAGTTGTTCTCCATGGTCGAGAAACCAACATCTATGCTGGCCCTCATGCGATCACCATAACGAATTGTCAAGAAAATGATCCTAAAGAAGATTTGAGGCGGTGCTGTGTTAGTATTATCAGTCTTGCAGTCAAAAGACCCTCACCCTTGTCCAATGACCGCAAGGACAGCCGCGATGATGTTCGTCCACGCAACACCTATGCGCTCGATCGATGGAAGGATAACAGCAATGGAAGCAGATAGAATGAGCAACCGGCTCGCCCTGATAGGTAAATGAACGTGTTCAGGTTAGATAGTCACAATATCATGGAGACTAACATGCAAGCAGCTGTGGCCTCTGCGCTTCGAGAATGTACTACGTCCACATTATAAGAGCTAATAGGATTTAACACTGAGTCGACCTATAAAATCGGTGAATTGCTTTATGCACGGGTGAGGGATCTAGCTAGTAAGACATACCCCCACTCCATTCGCATAAAGGCATAATATATTCAGCGCAAGGCCGATCGGGCCCCCAATATACGTCGTGATCAGCCCCGATGCCCCGATAGACAACGGGACAATGAACAACCCTCCGATCCACGTTGCTCTCAAACGGTCTTCGGGACACCACGTTCCTCTGCGCTTCTCCCGCCATCTTCTTACTACAGTGTCTGATAGGCGGCCAGCAATCAAAGTTCCGGCTGTTAAAGATTGTGTTGGTGCACTGCGAGTACAATGCTCTACACCTACTGAAGCTTCCCAGTCCGTTTGGGAGGAAAAACGCGCCGATGGTGGCCTCGTTCGTGATTCCATACCGGATGCCCTACACCGCGATCAGGATGCGAGATGGAAGACGATTGTTAGCTTACAATAGTATACGCCATCGGTACGACAAGAACTGCATTGTTTTATGTGAGAATGTACTGCACAGTCAGTGACGAGTAACGACACACCATAGACTGTGTTGACCATTAGAGCTGACGCAAGCATCTACATCTCACACGAAATTAAGAGTTTTCACTAGCGTATGGTAAATGCACTCACAACTACGAATAGGTTCGGACTGCGAAGTAACCAAAGACTGCTCAGAGGATTAATCCATGTGATGTGGATTGATCTCCTGGAGGGCAGTTTATCGATGCCCAATGTGCCAGGATGGCTCGTCTCAGGAAACGAAAGGTATATGAAAAGCATCTCGAGTAATCCCCATGCACCGATGGAATAATGCAAATTGCGCCAAGACCAATGATGTGTCGCCGCACCTGTTCGAATGCGTCACTAGAGTCAGCGGTCACAAATATCCAAAGTGC